CTTTATAGTTCGAATTTCTGGTCACTGTGTTCAGACAATCTATACATTTTCATGCCTGGTTCTTTCTTTTTATTTTCGTTTATATTATAAACAATCAAAACTTAACTTGCTGTTGTTAAAAGCTTTTTTCTCATGTTAGAATTGATTTCAAAGTTTAGTATTAGTGTGTTTTCACTGTTTTGGTACAGGAAACTACCATATGCATGAAAGGCTTCTGATACATGAAATAATTAAAAATGCCTAAAATTATTGCAAAATAAACTACGTCTACTGGGGGGGGGGGGGGTTGCTAAAACGCGGAACGGAAAATATGATTCGAGGTTAAATCTCTTTGAATATAAAAATCATACCAGAAACAGTATACAGCATATAAATTTTTCATATTTAATCCTTAATTATTAAAATAAGAGTTGATTAGTCATGTTCATTCTCTTATTCATGAAGATCTCTGAACATAGACAAAGCACAGGGTACGAAAAAAAAAAAAAAAAAAAAAAACAGAACAAAAAAATATCTAATGCCGTGCACATATACAGGAAACATGTTGAACTAAAATATGGATGAGTGGGAAAATTTCATTGAAAATCACTCTGATCAATATGAACGACAGGTATTCGATATTCTTATGATCCGTATGAGCGAAAAATCCCATAATTTTCAATGCATATGTACCCATGCACTTTAAGCATAGATAACGTACATCTCTGCACCTCCCACCCCCATACGGAAATATAACAACTCTAATTTTTTTTTTCGAAAATATGTAATTTCCCCATCCATCTTTACATTATTCTGTGCAATCAGTTTGTGCTATTTTGCACAATTTGACCATATGCATGTATGCTATCTTTCTTAAATCCCCGTTTCAGATCCCTATGGATTGCATCAACACCCCTGTAGTGTAATTAGGGTCTTCCGTCTCCAACGGAAGACCCTTCTATTATTCTATTGTTTCTTTTTCACTTTTATTACTATTATTATTATTTTTTTCTGTCCAAATTTTGTGCAGACGATTTCTCAGAGATGGTTGAATGGATTCACTTGAAATTTTCAGAGATGATGTATCATGATCTAAACCTTATTCATATTTTTTATTTTTTGGAAATTCACTTCCGGTCGGAAGTTATCGCCCTTTAATCGAATTTTTAGTGACCATTTTGTCTACACAAAAACTCAAAAACGACAAAAGATAGAGTGCTGAAATTTTCAGTGATAATAGAGGACATGTTCTAGTTGTGCACCTCAGTTTTCAAATTTTCTGGAAGTGCCTAGTATGTAAGCTCGGTAGGGGTCAAAATTTAGGACATGAATCAGGAGTGAATTTTCGAGACATTTTTTATCATATCTTCAAAACTATGAATATTTTCTTAAAACACATTGAACAGAAAATGTGCAGAATTACTAGATCTTTTATATGATATCAAGAAAAAAGGGCTGACTCATCACATTAGGGGCCAAAAGGGGCAAAAAGTCTTAAATCCATAACTCTTTAACGATCAATATTTTGTTATACATTACTGAAGCAAAAATGTTTATCTGAACAATCTACAACTATATATTATAATAAAAATCTCATATGTTACATAATTAGGGGCCATAAGGGGCCAGAATGCTAAATCTTTGACGCTTTATATCTCGAAAGTGGGAAATATTTTGATAAGCAATATTGAACAAAAGATGTTCAAAATAATGTTCTAAACAATATGCAACCTTTCAATATTTGCTAAACATCCCCATTAAGGAGTTGAAGGGCCGGCCCCTAAATATTTCTTTTGCATATATCTCAGTAACGAAAAAGAATTTCTGAATAGTTGTTGAACAAAAAGTGTTCAAAATCATAAGAGCTTTAAGGTGAAATCAAGAAAAAGGGGCTGGCCCCTCAAAATTGGGGCCGAGAGGGGCCGAAAAACTTTCATCAATAACTCTTTAACGATCAATATTTTGTAAAATATTACTGCAGCAAAAATGTTTATCTGAGCAAACTACAACTATATATTATGTTATTCAAATCACATGTTACATAATTAGGGGTCATGAGGGGCAGAAATACTAAATCTTTGATGCTTTATATCTCGAAAGTGGGAAATATTTTGCGAAGCAATATTGAATTAAAGATGTTCACAATAATGTTCTGAACAATATGTAACCTTTCAATTTTTGCTAAACGTCCCCATTAAGGAGTTAAAGGGCCGGCCCCTAAATATTTCTTTTGCATATATCTCAGTAACGAAAAAGAATTTCTGAATAGTTGTTGAACAAAAAGTGTTCAAAATCATAAGATCTTTAAGGTGATATCAAGAAAAAGGGACTTGCCCCTCAAAATAAGGGTTGACAGGGACCGAAAGTCTTTCGTCAATAACTCTTAAACGATCAATATTTTGTAATACATTACTAAGGCAGAATAGATCATCTTCACACTCCTTAACTATATAACGTTGTTAGCATCATATGTTACGTTATAAGAGAACAATAGGGGCCAGAATGCTAAATCTTTGACGTTATAAGGGGACATTAGGGGCCAGAATGCTAAATCTTTGACGCTTTATATCTCGAAAGTGGGAAATATCTTGATAAGCAATATTGAATAAAAGATGTTCACAATAACGTTCTGAACAATATGTTACCTTTCAATTTTTTCTAAACGTTCCCATTAAGGAGTTGAAGGGCCGGTCCCTATTATTTCTTTTGCAGATATTTCGGAAACGAAAAAAAAAATGTAGAATAGTTGTTGAACAAAAAGTGTTCAAAATCATGAGAGCTGTAAGAAGATATCAAGAAAATAGAGCTGGCCCCTCAAAATAGGGACCAAGACGGGCCGAAAGTCTTTAATCTATAATCTTTAATGATCAACATTTTGTTTTAGATTACTGAAGCAAAATTGTTCGTCTTAACAATTTATTTATATCATTATATTTGAACGAAAGTCTCAGTCAAATTCTTATCTCATCTTATCAAAAATCGGACGGAAGACCCACTCGTTGCTCGCAACGAGATCGCATCTAGTTTTTTCTAAAATTGTATCCTTTATTCTTCCAACAATCTATTGGAATTCCCATGGGTACCAATTGTGTCCCATTATTAGCAGACCTATTTTTGAACTCATATGAAGCAGAATTTATTCAAAATCTTATACGTGAAAAGTAGAAAACACTTGCTGTGGCTTCAACTCGACATTTAGATATATCGACGATGTATTGTCAATTAACAATGGTTATTTCCATTCTTATCTCGACACGATATATCCCGCTGAGCTTGAGATAAAAGATACAGCAGAGTCTGACACATCTGTTTCATATTTGGATATTTTATTAGAAAAAGGCGTTAATGATAATCCAACAACAAAGCTTAATGATAAACGTGATGACTTTAACTTTTCAATCGTCAGCTTCCCTTACTTATGCAGCAATATACCCTTATCATCTGCATATGGGGTTTATATCTCACAGTTTATTCGATACGCCAGAGCATGCTCTACGCATGAACAATTTCTAAAACGAGGTAAGTTATTGACAAACAAGTTGATGAAACAAGAATATCAGCAGTCTCGTTTTAATCATCATTTCATAAGTTCTATGGTTGATACAATGACCTTGTCAGCAAATACAATCTATCATTAAGTCAAATGCTGACTGACTTTTTTCATACTTTTTGTTAGGCCATTATTTACACACTGAATTGTCGACAGATTTTTCCGTTATTTCCCAATCATGACAAGGAGCACACAGCGGGTGTGACCGGTCGGCAAGGGATGCTCACTCCTCCATGGCACCTGATCCCACCTCTGACGCCTTAGAGGTCCGTGTTTGCTCTGCTCTTTGTAATGTTTAATGGACTTTTGAGCTCAAATTCTGTTCGTTATATCCACTATTTCAATTATGCCAGTGATCGTTGTCTCTAACATAAAATAATATAATATACTCTGTGTTTCTCTTTCACTTCGCCTGTTTCGAAACTACATTTTCCCTTTCATAATCAATAATGATGTTTTGTCTTTGACGAATAAGTCATTTTTTAAATTCAGATTTGGATGAGTGATAAATGAGACATTCTGATATATAATTTGGATGCGAGTCTAATTATTGTGCATTTTATTGACCAATGCATGTACATGTATATGCCGCATGTTTTGAGGGGAAAAACTGAATAAATCACATTGTTACAAAAACTTTTAATTTGATATAAACTACATGTATTAGATAAAGAATAATGCTTCCTATGTCTGAATTATACCTGTGAATAGTGAAAAACGAGACATCATATTTTCGTTTTCCGTTCCGTTTTCCGTTCCGCGTTTTAGCAACACCCTACTGGGGGGGGGGGGGGGGGGGGGGGGTAAATGGCACAGTCCTAATAAATGAACATAAACTGTCTTCATCCTTAACCTGTTAATCATGTTAACACTACAAGCGATCAACAATTAAAAAATTAATAATTTTATCACGATCTTCACTTACTACTTACAGAAGAGTAGTGTGTAAAGACAATAGGAATTCCTTGCACTTTAAAAATAAAAAGAAGGCTGCATCATTATTTGGTACTGAACGGAATGGAACGAAGTCCAAGAGGTTATAGGTTTTAACTACGATTTGATAGAGAAACGCTTGAATTGCAAACTGAAATCATGATCTTACGGTATACAAACTCCAACATGACATTCACAACTCTAGGTTCGTATTCAGTAACACCCATTTCTTTTAAAATTGCACCCATTACTTGTGCATCTCGCGGAGAACTCTTCGCTGGAGACGCCATTTTTATTGACTTTTAAAAAGAGAATGCCGAACCCGAAGAATAGGATGAATTTTTAACTGATAGAGTAAATAATTATTCAGACCACGAGAAAAATGATGACGGAGATGATCCAAAAAAAAAAAAAAGAAAGAAAAAGAGAGTAAAATTTAAGCACTATGTACGTTGATATACATATGCATGTACAATGATCATGAATAAATGTATTTATAAGGGGTGATGAATTTTAAACAGAGAATATTGAAAGGGAATGGTTTGGAATATGTTCATGCTTCTCTCAACTTTTTTTCTTTAATAAAAAAAGTTGCAGTTTAAATGTAAAATGCAAGCACTTAGAAGATTTTTCAAAATTTTACGAAATACTTTTTATCTTCTCAAGATTTATCCACGTTTAATATCTGATGATATAGCTGTCTAGTTTTTAAACTTCTGTGTGTAAGTGATTCCAAGAGATCAGTTTCGGTAATGAAACATCTAAAAGAAAATGGTTTTTTTTTAAATTCATGCTAAAATTATCTTCAAGCTTGAGTGGACAAAGAGTCATGCATGCAGTTGTTATGTTAATGAGTATTGATATGTTGTATCTCTAAGAGATCCATATGTTTTGCCTTATACTGTTATATGACACTATATACTTTGGACTATGAACCTTCCTAAAAGGGGGATCCAAGCAATTTTCCGGGGACGGGGGGGGGGCAATCCTTCTCACTGACCAAAAAAGGACAAACACAAAAAACTATACGTGCATGCGCATTTCATGGGGTTGGGACAAAGGCACTTGTTTCTGTAATAAAATTTTCAATCCATAGTATAATAATAACACGTGTTATTATTACTGGTTAAAAAAATTATTTAAGGAATAACTGTCTAATTTTTTTGGTTTCATGATGTGATCAAGCAATTGGCTTGCGTGATAATTTGCATAAATGCCGAAGGCGTTTATGTATAAAACTATCACGCAAGCCAATTGCGTGATCACCAACATGAAATCAAAAATTCCGACAGTTATTCAGTACATTCATACACTGTATGCTACAAGCCCCGCCTACTTCTCTTACTCTGTCTCTTCTCTTTCTCCCGCACTTTTGATTTTATTTAATGAACCAGTCGCTTTATGTAGAAATCAAGTATGTTTTCAATTTGTAGTTTTATCTTGGACAAAGAAATACAAAAATGGTAAATATTACAGAAACAAGCGCCTGAGGATTGCATGGGGTTAGCTATCACCGTCATAAAACTCTCTTTACTTCGATCATTATACATTTCTTTTGCTTTACCCCCCCCCCCAACCCATTCCCTCCTGCTAGATCTTCCCTTGTAAAAGTAAAATGTATTTTTTTTCTCATAAGCTTTGTGCATTAAAGTAGTGAAAACACCCTTGAAATCAGTTTTAACTCACTTTTTCTAAAATACACCAGAAAAAAAGAATAAAATAACTACACAGTATGTCAATAATCAAAATCTTTGTAAGAAAAAATATAAACTATAACATGCATTTACACTAGTCTACAAAAAATGGAAACATATTCCATATTTTGGACATTCTAGAATATACATTTAGAATGTCTTGATGTCTTCTAAATGCCATTTAACCATCTGTTATTAAATATAAAGTGTAACTTTTCGAGCCTGTATTTAATTTAAAAAAAAATAAAATAAACTGCCGAAACTCGTAAATCCTATTTCGGGGGTGGGGTGTGTGGGTCTTTCTCTAACTTTTCGGTATATTCTTTTTACAAATGCTGGAATTTGCCAGTATTGACCAACCGGCCGGGAGGGGGGGGGGGGCAGCTTCCAAATGAAAATTTACATAGTAAAACAACATCAAAAAACTATTCTTTACTGCGGGCTACGGAAGCCCAATAGTGGAAACCAAAACTAAATAAAAAACGAAAATATAAAATAAAAACGAAAATTGATACCTTCGTAGTAAAGACCTGATGTTTGGACCTGTGTTTAGGGTGTCTCCATGCTTTATACATGTATATAATAAATGTTTAGGGGTCAAGGTCAAATATATGTATCATCTATGTATCATACTTTTTGTTGGTATTGAAATTTTTAAATCTCCGAAATATTCAATCAATCTGTTGATTTCTTGTTAAACTTGAATTATATATACATTTTCTTCTAATTAAGAGATCTTTAAATGTAGCATATTTACGTGCGAATTTGCAATTCTCGAGCTATGTATGTTCTATTATTACATCACAGAGTACGCTTAGAAAATAGTGATATAACATTTTTACAGAATTATAGTAACGTTTAACAAGGGGTCCATGGGCCACATCGCTCATCTGAGCACATTGGCTAGGAAAAAGCGGAAATCAGTTCAGTATTGAAAATTTTTCGGTGGGGGGGGGCAAACTTGAACTTACACTACCTCAGGATGCTTCCATATCAATATTACTAACCATGGCTTTGCTGTTCTTGAGCAGAAGAATTTTAAAGATTTTTTCCTAAGTATTCCTATGTAAAACTCGGATCGCTCATGGTGGACCCACCCTAAATTTGAACAAATTTGAATCTACACTACCTGTGGGTACTTCTGTAATAAGATGACTAATCATGGCTTTGCTGTTCTTGAGGAGAAGATTTTTACAATGCCCCCCCCCCCTCTCCAACAGTAACCCCTGGGGTCATAATTTGAACAAAATTGATTCTACAATACCTAAAGTCGCTTCTGCATAAGTATGTCTAATAATGGCTTAGTTGTTCAAGATATTTCTTATATAGTCCTATGTAAAACTTTGCCCCTTTGGTGTGGCCCCGCCCTACACCCAGTGGTCATGATTTGAATAAACTTGAATCTACACTACCCGAGGATACTTCTGTATTAATATGACTAATAATGGCTTTGCTGTTCTTGAAAAGAATTTTTTTAAAGATATTTCCTATATATTCCTAGGTAAAATTTTTGCGCCCTGTTTGTGTCTGCGCCCAACCCCCAGGGGTCATGATTTGAACAAACTTGAATCTACCCTACCTGAGGATACTTTTATAATAATATAACTAATCATGACTTTGCTCTTTTCGAGAGGAAGATTTTTAAGACATTTCCTATATATTTCTATGTAAAACTTTGACCCCATCTTGTGGCCCCGCCCCACCTCCAGGGGTTATGATATGAGCAAAATTGAATTCAGAGTATGTAATTAAGCTTTTACATAAGGTTCATCTTTTCTTGCCCAGTGGTTCTTGAGAAGAAGTTTTTTAAAAGATACCACCAAATTTACACGAAAACTTAATTATCTCCACTTGAAAGAGGGTGTGACATTTCCTGTGAACAAAATGAATCCCCCTCACCCAAGGATTCTTTGTGGCAAGTTTGGGTGAAATTGGCCCAGTGGAAAAAGTCGAAAATGTGGAAAGTTTACAGACGGCGGACGACAGGCGGAGGCCGGACACTCTTTGATCAGAAAAGCTCAGATGAGCTAAAAAGGTTACCTTCATAAACAGCATCACGTATATCAAATTGTAATGTTTACACAATATTAATGCACATTCTAATGGTGATCGAATGTCTGATTTCACTATTTATCTATTTTTTTTAATACAGGAATCTGATAGACTATATACCATGTATACCAAACTGTGTAGGCAAAAAATGTGCATGTGGCTGAATTTCTGTCATATTGCACACAAAGAGAGATTTATAATTATATTCTAGAACAAAATATCAACGTTTCAAACAAATTGAATCTGAGGAAAAATTTGGCCTACCTGTGTTATATTACCTTAATTAATTATTAATCATTATATCATCGAAATTTTTTTATGTTCCATATGTATTTTAATGTAAGTTATTTATAAGGTTTAGATGACCGTGAAATTTCTCTCTCTCTCTCTCTCTCTCTCTCTCTCTCTCTCTAAACCACTCATACAAAAAAAAGAAACACTAACAATTCCCTGAAGTGTTCCTATATCTTTTTAATTTTAGATCCGCCTCTATTTACTCAACAAGCACGTACCGGCATAAACAAATTTAAAAACATTTTCACAAAGTGTGTGTCGCAGTGTGATTCATTAAACAGGCCACTGTGCATCTATGTCATAATTCTGATGGCGTGGGACAAGAAGATATTGTGAAATGTTCCCCAGTCACCATATCAGTACAAGATTCTGAGGTAAGGAGGTTTCTTTCGATCATCTCTTATTTCTCAAACGAAAGTGGATATCGACGTACATGTACATGATATATACCCTCCCGAGACTGTCCTAAATTAGGGTCACTCAACATGCTCAACAACTATGTACAATGTTCAGCGCAGTCAATGTATTTACTATGTAAATTAAAGTCTACTGTTTATAACGACTGTACGTAATCTACTTATTGTTTGATTAGAAATGTGATCGGTACAGTGTAAATATGTCAATAAAGTTTTCCCTAGTAGAAAGGAAGATGAAAATGACATAATATATAATTGTGTAAAGGGGAATGGGGCTGGAGTAACTCAAGTGCTTATACATGTACGTTCTAAGTTAACCCATTTTTTTTCAACATATTACAATCCCAAAATGATCTGAAAAATCTATTTCTTCTAATCGTGAACTTATCTTGACATTTTCTCGGTTCAATGGCGAGGACATTAATGACCCGAAAACTAAAAAGCCGCGCTGCAGCATAATGACCTGGGCGCTGGCGCTTTTGTATAGGACACAGTGGGTATCTGACATTAATTAAACAGTAACTGTTCTTAATCAAGATATTTTACAGAGATATTTATCAGAATGTCGAGTTTGTTGATGGCCTGTAATGATACCTTACATGACTTTATTATTTACAGAAGTGAACGTATATTCCCCGCCAGGTGTAATAATGTCACACAGGTGTTTTTCCGTGCTTTCTCTGGTGATCATCAGTTGTTTTTATGCAGGTATGTGCTCTTTCTCTCTCTCTCTTCAGCCAATGGTACTTTAATTAGAATTAAATCTATGATGTGAAAAGTCTGTCAAAATATTAATTCCCGTTAAACTGTTTTAAAAATTCAACACAGTGCATGAATTTAACTTCGACAAGATGACAAAATGACAGACGTATCATTGTATTCCGTTCACTTTGGGAAAAAGTTTCAGGATACACGATCGCTTTTATTATTAACCACTAGCTTTCAAGAGGAAAGAGCAAGGTTCACTTTCTAATTTCTAAATTCTAAATAATTAATAAATAAATTTCTAAATAATCGAAACTGCTTGAACCCTTGTGAACGTAGCTCCTTTACCAAATTCATTAATTTATTAAAAACAAGATTTTATTTATCACATTAATTTTAGAGAATACCGATGTACAGACCCTTCGTCGTTTATGATAAATACTTGAACGTCGAAAAATATTAATAAACAACTATATAAACAATCACAAATTACTTTTTTTATTATTAGTATTAAAAAACGAGTTAAGAGACCTCATCTCATAGATATATACATATATAAAAGACAAGTGTAAAAAAAAAAAATACCTTACGTGCGGAACACCTGATAAGTATGCTAAAACGATGGAATTAAAATTCCTCAGTGGTGCGTATTTGTCCGTGGGGTGAAAAGACAACAAAGGCTAGTCTCCGGGGAGAACTTGTCTAAATATTGCGTATTGTTACCGGCTGCATTCAAAAGCAGTCTATCACAAAACTGAAAAAAAAACATTGAAAGAATAAAAGATAACGTTTTTGTTGGTGATAAAAGTTCCGATATTTTAAAGATTTTTGTTTAATAAGATCATTCAAAATCACGGAATCGACTTGTTAATTGCTTAATTGTTCTTCATCATAAATGGCAAATATAACTAACTAGAATTATAATTTTAAAAAGTTTTAAGTGAACAATCTTAAAACTTTGTAATATTTAGAATGGTAGTCTTTTTTATGCTTCTTTTCAGTACGTAAAGTGTTTCCTGAGCTTTTCATAGACGTTGAATTTAGAATTTAAGACTGTGTAATGCAGTGAAAAAAATGATTAAAACATATTCTATATTACAAGATATTCAGTCAAAACCTGTCTTATTTGTTTAGGCAATATAATTCAAGAGTTACAATTTCATATTAAGGTTCACTGACCATCTAATAAGAGAGACAACTCCCTGGGATACATGATTCTCATTCCTTTATTAACATGTCGGCTTCAAAGGCAATTTCTGTCAAAGGAGATGGGCGATAGCGAGCAAGCGATAAAAATGCATATGGTTTGACAAATAAGAAAGTGAAAAATTGAATGTCAATCATCACACAATTTTCTGTGAAAGGATGTATTCACTATTACAAAAGAATTGACCTATAGGAGAGAACAATTTCCCGGAAAAAGTTACATTTAAAAATCAATCTTTATTTGTTGTTTTCTACCGTATATATGTCTAAATTTTTCATATTTGTATTTTACAACTAAAATTTATTATTTACAACTTTACAATAAACCTCCAAAGTTGGCCGAAACACCATTTTGTCCGTTAAAGCGTTGATTTTTGCATGAATTTTGGCCTAGAAGTCCTTCAGGGCAGGCCTGCCCCTAAATAAAATTTTGATATTTTGATAGGTTGGGATGTAAGGAATAATTTAAGATAGGATATTTTTAGGGGCACCCCTGCCCTAGGGTCGAAATTCACAAAAAACCTACAAAAAATAAGGAAACCTGATTTTGACAATCTGCTTCAAATTTATACCAGTAAATTTTATAGTCAGAATAGCTCAGTTGATATATACGCTGACTATTATGTCGTGGATATTATCTTTTTAAAGTCGGGGGTTCGAATCCACCTGGTGCCACACTTTTATAGTTTTAAATTTTCGTCTTTTCAAAGGCTATTTTAAATTTTTTATAGGCTTGTTTATTTTCCCTCAATTATCTATCCTTTATGCATTCCCATTCTTGATATACGAAACACTAGAGAGAGCTCAAATCGTAACAATCCAATGTACAGTTGTCAGTCAGGCGGAACACTTTCTCCGAGGACAAGAATAACTCACTCTGTGTTACTCGATACAGGTATTCTCGGCAGCTTTGAGCTGCGATGAATTTCAATTGTATATATCCCTTAGAATTTAATCACATTGCTTCTATTCTGTCTGTGCTACATGTACTAGTGCTTGTCTGGGTTACATGTAGTATGTTACGTATTGCTTGAATTGTTTGAGCTTAATATATTTAGAATAACATATATGTACTATTGTTTTCAGTCAATGTTCTAAGATCTTAAGTTTTGAAACAGTTTGGCTACATATATATTAGTAACTGTACTCCCTTGGATTTCATTTAGGCCTATATAATTTGCATACATTAATGACATGTTTTTATTATATCCACGGAATAGTGTTGTAAAATAAATAGCCTATACATAAAGAATAGAATACCAGAGAGAGAGTAGACATTATCATTATGTACAATTAGAAGTGAAGAAAAATATCAATTATTACATTTGAAGATTATTTAACAATCTCAGAATATCAGTGAAAGTGTTCCTATTAACTCTACTCACTGAAATAAAGATTTATGAAAAACAAATTGTTACATGTATTCAGCCTCAAGTCATTAACCGGAACGGAAATCGACAAGCTTTTTGTAGAGAAAAAAACCAAGCCCGGCCCTATAGGTCAGACTCCTATTTATATAGAAGTGAACCTTTCATGCAGTTAACACTAATGTATACTTAAAGTAAAATTTTTACAAGTTGCAACAATATCATAAGTGTTGAAATTTTTATTCCATGAAATAGCATACACAGACCAAAGAGGGCAAAAATGATCATTTCTTCATACAAAAACAATTTTTTTTTATGTAAGTGGGTCTTCGCTACATTTTTTTTTTGAAAGTATTTCTTCAAAGTATGCTTTAAAATATACATTTTTTGCATAACAAAAACATGTAGCAAGAACTCATTCTATCTTAAAAATACCTTTTATATATACATTGTATATAACGAAAAATTCTTATCTTCCGAGAAATGTTTAAAGGACCATATCGGACAAAAGATTTAAATGCCGCTACTTTTCCTAAGATGTTAGCGTGTCAGTCTCTAATAAACTGAAACTCGAGATTTATTTTGCTTGGGTTCAAATCCCAAGATATTCCTAATCTTTTTTAACCATAAAATAATTTTAACTAAATAATTTTCGGCAGAAAAGTGTTTTGTCATAAATTCATTCTTTTCAATAATTAAAAGTCACTCTAAATATTTGATTCACAAACTGAATTTGATTTCTATACAGTTGAAGTTATAGGCATTTTGCACGCCTTTTTTGCCCATCTTCTTTATTCCCATAAAGTATGTTGAAATTGTGTGCATTTTATTTAAAATAAGATTGGACCATAAGGTATGTTGAAATTGTGTGCATTTTATTTAAAATTAGATTGGAAAATCTTTAGAGATAAAGCAAAATTTGTATAGAAGTGAACAGAGTGTAGGTGAACCTTAACAGTATTTGTCACATCTCTATGATAGTGGTGACCCCTGAGCAGAAAGTGTCTGGATGGACTGGCTGGTCAGGCTGGACCTCATGTTCAGTGACGTGTGGTTATGGTCTGATGTACAGGGAAGCGTACTGGGTGGACAAGAATGGACAGAGGACGAACAGGACAACACATGATAACATGGGATGTTACATCCCAAAGTCCTGCCCTGGTAAGTTACATGTTACATCCCAAAGTCCTGTCCCAGTAAGTTACAGAAAACACACGATATCTTGGGATGTTACATCCCCAAGTCTCACCCTGGTAAGTTAAGAACAAAACGTGATAATAATTTGGGATGTTAAATCTCAAAGGCCTGTCCTGGTAAGTTACAGGCAGCACACAGTTACATGGGATGTTAAATTCCTAACTAATGTCCTGGTAAGTTATGAAAATAAGTCCTGACTTGGACAGTTACATGGTACATACCAAAGTCCTACCCTGGAAAGAAACCTGGTGTATGATAACATGGGATGGTACATCCCAAAGTCCTGCACTGGTAAGCTACAGACAACACATAAAAATATGGAACGCTAGATCCAAAAACCTAGTCCTTGTAAGTTACATCCAAAAGACCTGTCCTGGTAAGTTACATCTTACATAACTGAGTCATGACCTCTTATGTTACATGAGAACATGGGATTTTATATCCCTAAATAATGCCTGGTAAATTACAAGATGACATGGGATGTTTCATCCCAAAGATCTGCCCTGGTAAATTACAAAATAACATTGGATGCTAAATTCTAAAGTCCTGCCCTGGTAAGTTACATGATAAAATGGCATATTCATCCTTAATTCCCGCCCTGGTAAGTAGCATGATAATATAGTATATTATATTCATCCTCAAGTCCTTCTCTGGTAAGTTACATGAAAACATGGGATGTTACATCCGAAAGTCCTGCCTTGGTAAGTTACATGATAACATGGGATGTTACAATCCTAGGTCCTGTCCTTGTTAGCTACATGGTAACATGGAATTTTCATCCCAAAGTCCTGCCCTGATAAGTTACATGATAACATGGGATGTTACATCCCCAAGTCTTGCTTTGGTTAATTACATGATAACATGGGATTTAATATCCTTAAATCCTGTCCTGGTAAGTTACATGATAACATTTTTGTTACATCTCTAAGTCCTGTCCTTGCAAGTTACTTGATTACATTAGATGTTACATTCCCAAAGTCCTGCCCTGGTAAGTTACATGATAACATGGGATATTCATTCCCAAGTCCTGTTCGGGTAAGTTGTTTATAGCCTTCGATTTTACCATTTTAATACTTTTCTGGTAAGATATGAGACAGACCAAAGTCCTCAATTTCCTAAACATGTTTTTGGGATACCTATTGTTAATGGGTACCATGTAACAAATACTTTGGCTATAATATATGTATTTTCACATCGGGTAACCGTTACATTTTTTTTTTCATGAAGGTACTGGTAACTTTTAAATTGCCCATGGTAATGACAGTTGATTGTGTATTTTAAGTAAAGTCGATCTTTTGGCATGTTTTAGTTGATGGTAACTGGACCACGTGGTCTGGATGGTACTGGTGTTCCTCAATCTGTGGGCCCGGGCGTCAGGAGAGATACCGCTACTGTGTCAACCCAAAACCTGCTAACGGGGGAATGCCCTGTTCAGGTCTGGCGAATGAGAGCAGGGCTTGTGAAGTAATACCATGTCCTAGTAAGTGTATAGCTCTCACTGTAACACTGGGCAGTATGAGCGCCTCCATCTTCGCTAGTCAAGTTTTTCAGATCCGCTCCAAAGGACAGTCCTCTAGCTGGATCAGAAATTCTTTGGTACCAAAAATGAGCTCCTCTGCACATTTCAATTCTTTGTAAGGACTGGCATATAAAATCTGTAAAATAGGGGAAACAGTCATTTTCCACTCTCATTCCCTATCGTTGAAGCGTAACCAGGCCATTCGATTAAAAAAAAAAAGAGTCTCAATTTCTTTGAAAGAAAGCTTTGTCTATGATTACATGTACCGCAGCCACAATTTCTTCTGAAGATGATTTTGGGATCAAAGGATAACTTAATGATGTCAGTGAAGTAACGTTAAAATATTGATGCTAGATTGTGCATTTCTGTTTCGAAAACAAGTTTCAGGTTTAAACAAATCGGCACCAGAGCATGTCCTGCTTTATAATAAATGAATGGTTAATTGAGATATCCCATCGACATTAAATTATTTAAGGACGTTTGCAAAAAAGGAAAAGTTGAGATAATGCTATCTGACGTTATAATTTTTTTGAGATCGTTTGCAAAGAATAAATAGATGAGATAATGCTATCCGACATAAAGTTGTTAATCATTGTTTAAAGAAATATATGGAGATAACGAACAGTATTCAAGCTCAAAAGTCCATTAAACAATACAAAATAGGAGCAGAGCAAACACGGACCTCTAAAGCATCAGAGGTGGGATCAGGTGCCATGGAGGAGTGAGTATCCCCTGCCGACCGGTCACACCCGCCGTGTGCTCCCCGCCATGATCAGGAACAACGGAAAAATTCGTCGACAATTCAGTGTGTAAATAATGGCCTAACAATAAGAATGAAAAACATCAGTCAGCATTTGACTCAATGATAAATTGTATTTGCTGACAAGGTCATTGTATCGACCGTAGAACTTACGAAATGATGACTTTAAACGAGACTGCTGATATTCTTGTTTCATCAGCTTGTTTGTCAATAATTTTCCTCGTTTGCGAAGAATAGATAGTTTAGATATCCGATCGACATTAAATTATTTAAGGACGTTTTGCGAAGACTGGATAGTTGAGATAATGCTATTCAGCATTAAATCATTTTAAGGACGATTGCAAAGAAAATGTATCAAATGAATATATAAGATTTTTTTTAATTTTTCAGCTATTCCTCCGTCTTTCAGTTTATCGGAGTGTAAAAAGGAAGACTTTATGTGTAACAGCAGACAACAGTGTGTTCCGGCTGCGCAGAAATGTGACAAAACGCTACAATGTCATGACGGAAGTGACGAATTGAAATGCAGATATGTCAACAACCATGGTAATATTCTGTGTTCTCTCATTTAGCAACATTTTAACGGGTTTCTAATATGTATTTTTTTCTATTGTTTGAATTTAAAAACACAGGGTCTTTTGAGTTAAACAATTCTGTTTCTTTTGCAGGTACCATGAATGGAATATCAAAGACAATATATCATATATTTTTTGTTCTATTTCTTTTACATGCAACATGAACAAAGTTGAAATGTGAATGGATGTATGAAATCTGTTAAGGAGAGATAGAGAGAAATTTGTTGATATACTGTTAACAAAACAAGTGGAACTCGTAATTATTTTTTGAAGTAATTAAAAACAAATTCTCAAATTATTTTTGTACTATTCTATCACATGCAACATGAACAAAGTTCAAAATGTTAATAATTGGATGAAATATGGTTAGGATAGAGAGAGAGAGAGAGAGGAGAAAGAGAGAGAGAGAGTTGTTGATATATGGTTAACAAAACAAGTAGAGCAACTTGTTTATTTTTTTTTGTAGGAATTAGAAAAATTGTCGCTTTTAGAATATTGAATTTATCATAAACTGTATTTGATGCATTTTTTCCTCATGTTTATGGTGCTTTTTGTAATATAGATCAAGTTGTCTCATCGAGTGATATTCTATCTTGTAAATGTTGTGACCATTTTTAAAATTTGTTTTTGTATATTTAGGGTCTTCCGTCTCCAACGGAAGACCCTTCTATTATTCTATTGTTTCTTTTTCACTTTTATTATTATTATTATTATTTTTTTCTGTCCAAATTTTGTGCAGACGATTTCTCAGAGATGGTTGGATGGATTCACTTGAAATTTTCAGAGATGATGTATCATGATCTAAACCTTATTCATTTTTTTTATTTTTTGGAAATTCACTTCCGGTCGGAAGTTATCGCCCTTTAATCGAATTTTTAGTGACCATTTTGTCTACACAAAAACTCAAAAACGACAAAAGCTAGAGTGCTGAAATTTTCAGTGATAATAGAGGACATGTTCTAGTTGTGCACCTCAGTTTTCAAATTTTCTGGAAGTGCCTAGTATGGAAGCTCGGTAGGGGTCAAAATTTAGGACATGAATCAGGAGTGAATTTTCGAGACATTTTTTATCATATCTTACAAACTATGAATATTTTCTTAAAACATATTGAACAGAAATTGTGCAGAATTACTAGATCTTTTATATGATATCAAGAAAAAAGGGCTGACTCATCACATTAGGGGCCAAAAGGGGCAAAAAGTCTTAAATCCATAACTCTTTAACGATCAATATTTTGTTATACATTACTGAAGCAAAAACGTTTATCTGAACAATCTACAAATATATATGATAATAAAAATCTCATATGCTACATAATTAGGGGCCATAAGGGGCCAGAATGCTAAATCTTTGACGCTTTATATCTCGAAAGTGGGAAATATTTTGATAAGCAATATTGAACAAAAGATGTTCAAAATAATGTTCTAAACAATATGCAACCTTTCAATATTTGCTAAACGTCCCCATTAAGGAGTTGAAGGGCCGGCCCCTAAATATTTCTTTTGCATATATCTCAGTAACGAAAAAGAATTTCTGAATAGTTGTTGAACAAAATGTGTTCAAAATCATAAGAGCTTTAAGGTGAAATCAAGAAAAAGGGGCTGGCCCCTCAAAATCGGGGCCAAAAGGGGCAAAAAGTCTTTCATCAATAACTCTTTAACGATCAATATTTTGTTATACATTACTGAAGCAAAAATGTTTATCTGAACAACCTACAACAATATATTATAATAAAAATCTCATATGTTACATAATTAGGGGCCATGAGGGGCCAGAATGCTAAATCTTTGACGCTTTATATCTCGAAAGTGGGAAATATTTTGATAAGCAATATTGAACAAAAGATGTTTAGAATAATGTTCTAAACAATATACACCCTTTAAATTTTTGCAAGACATCCCCATTAAGGACTTGGAGGGCTGGCCCCTAAATATTGTTATTCTATATATCTCTTAAACGAAAGGAAATTTCTGAATAGTTGTTGAACAAAAAGTCTTCAAAATCACAAGACCTTTCATTTGATATCAAGAAAAAGGGGCTGACCCCTCAAATTAGGGGCTCAGAAGGGCCAAAAGTCTTTCATCTATAACTCTTTAATGATCAATATTTTGTTATAAATTACTGAAGCAAAAATGTTCATCTTAACATTCTGCAACTATATATTATAAAATTTTGATCATATGTTACGTAATAAGGGGCCATAAGGGGCCAGAATGCTAAATCTTTGACACTTGGTATCTCGAAAAGGAGAAATATTTTGATAAGCAATATTGAACAAAAGATGTTCAGAATAATGTTCTAAACAATATACACCCTTTTAATTTTTGCAAGACATCCCCATTAAGGACTTGGAGGGCTGGCCCATAAATATTGTTATTCTATATATCTCTTAAACGAAAGGAAATTTCTGAATAGTTGTTGAACAAAAAGTCTTCAAAATCACAAGACCTTTCATTTGATATCAAGAAAAAGGGGCTGACCCCTCAAATTAGGGGCTCAGAAGGGCCAAAAGTCTTTCATCTATAACTCTTTAATGATCAATATTTTGTTATAAATTACTGAAGCAAAAATGTTCATCTTAACATTCTGCAACTATATATTATAAAATTTTGGTCATATGTTACGTAATAAGGGGCCATAAAGGGCAAGAATGCTGGATCTTTGATGCTTTATATCTAGAAAAGGGGAAATATTTTGATAAGCAATATTGAACAAAAGATGTGCAGAATAATGTTTTAAACAATATGCATCCTTTCGCTTTTAATAGACGAGTATCTCAGTCAAGATCTTGACTAATCTTATCCAAAATCAGACGGAAGACCCACTCGTTGCTCGCAACGAGAACCATCTAGTTTTGCTTACATTTTTATGCATATATTAAAAAAAATTCATGAGATTACTGTGTCTTGATCATAAGCTAGTTTGAGACGGATATACATACATTTGTAGAAAACTGGACACGACACCATGTAGTTCTTTCAATTAGATGAACAATCACAAACAAACCACAGTGCCATACTAAAACACTCAGTGTTTGATGTACCATCGGTGAAATCACGGGTGCTTTCATTGATTCCCCCTTCTTGTGAAATTAAGCTACCATTGTTCTTACATGTACTTCTAACACGTACAGGCCTGTACATAGGAACAGAATGAGACGAGCGCGTTTCAATTTGTCAATTTTATGTCCAAAAAAAGGTACATGTACAGTCTCTTTTATGCGTTATCATGTATTTTAATTAATATTGGAGAACTGTATGTGTTGCATAAGAACAGCAAATATGATACAATGTAGTATGTATCATTCTCGATTTCTGTCTTATAGATGTCCGTACACTTGTGACGTCACAACATTTGTAATACGTTTCTTTGTATCCCATATCTCGATACATTTACCAGTTTACATGAACCCGAACGCACTACGAAGGAAGGTCCCTCTGGGTCTGGCTGATATGTGAGGTGATATCAATGTTTCCTGTGTATATAACATTTTAAAATCACTTCTCTCTCTCTCTCTCTCTCTCTCTCTCTCTCTCTCTCTCTCTCTCTCTCTCTCTCTCTTGAAATGAAATGGGAAAAGGTGAAGATTGATCTCAGAAATCCTTAAAACAATACGATTAGAGAACAGGAGAAAACACGCTCCCCTGGAAACACGAAAGGTTTGATCAGGGCCCCATTTTACAAAGGAACTTACAACGAAGACCAGAAACTTTAGCCGATTCTAGAATCTTATCAATATTAATTAATATTATGCGAAAAGATGCTTGCATGAAAATAACTTTCGAGAGTGTTTCAAAAAAGATCACTACCATTTTCAAGTTACAAGTAATGTAAACATGAAAGTTATTCGATCGCAAAATTATAATTTGGTTTTAGTCGTAAGTTACATTGTAAAACGGGCCCTAGTTAGAATAATCTAACTGTGTCTAGGGACAATATCATTTTACAATAGAACGTTCTATCTAAATGGATCCCATGTGCTAAGGAGGATAACATATCTATTTATAAGCAATATTGTGAGCCCCGTGTATATTGCTCAGGTAAACGGAGTAATCTGTATTCCAAATTAGTATAGATAAACAATCGCCTATAACAAGCGACATGAAACATCACGGTCAGTCAAAATACGACCAAAGGAATTGATATTTGTAAACAAAATCATTATAACGACAATAGACTTTGTAACATGCTGACTTGAAAGCCCTGTTATATCAACTTATTTGTCAGTAGCCTTCCTCGGTTTAAAAAATATCGTACACAGAGCATGTTCTTTCATGCCGAATCAGTTTGGAGATATTAACAACATATATATGCATGTGAAAGTGGAATAAATATTAGTAAATGACGATGGGACAGTTGAAAGTCAATATCAATTAAACACATGTGGCAGATGTAATGTAGAATATTGACCCGATCTGCGATGTCATTTTTTGGAGTGAGTTTGATAGTTTTTAAGTAATACCTTTCATTATAGTTACTTCTAAATTACCATTGCCATTACTCTGATTTTTGTTTTTCTGATTGAATATGATTTTTTACTGGATAGATTAAAAAAAATGATATATAATCCTTGAAGGACAGACAGCAATCACTCGGCTTTTTCCGTCCAGCTGAAAAAAAGAAAAAAAACAAAAAACAAAAAAACCTCGAACTTGACGGATGAATTTATCAAGATGATGAATTGCAAAACATTCTGCTTTTACATACAGATTGTTATGGATGAGAATTATGTCTAATTATACTGAGAATTCTTTTTTGTATTCAGTCAATTTTCATTTCAAGCGTGTTTTTAAAAAATGTGATTTGTTCGGGTTCGAGATTCATAAATCATTCGGGACTCTCTAGATTTTACCTTAATCCCATTGTCTCCTTCTTTTACCGTCGGTTACCCGCCATGTCGGAAAGCGATTCAGACGAGGGGATGAAAAATTCCACTTGGGTCCCTTACAGAGACCGAGATGAGTGGAAGGACGTCTCCCCCATCCCCCAGGATGACGGTCCCGGCCCCGTGGTCCAGATTGCATACTCTGACGAATGTAAGTAAAGTGCCAGAGAATCTGAAACATGGTGTCGTCACCCGGGGATAATGTGTTTGTTGTGGTCGATGTACATGTATGGAATTCTCTTTGGCTTGCGTCCAGTGGCTAAGAATAGCCAGAATGGCTTATTTTCTGTATCTTATTCAAATTCATTAGTAAGAAAATAATTTTAAGTAATAATTGAACATAATTATTGCAGCTAAATATCAAAAAGGAAATGCTTGGAAAAAAGAGGGTGGGGGGGTGGGGGTAACTATTGATGCCAATTTACATTACTAATTATTAGCAGTGCATGCATTCGTCATAAAACATCATCTTGAAAAATAATTTCTGCATACAAGGATAAAAGTGATGACTTGTTCTTCTTATAGGATCTTAAACAATTAAGTTTAAATTTGATTAACTCGAATTTTAATCAGTAGTGTAGTATATACATGATATAGTCCACTAGTTATACACAAGCTCCCTTGAAGGGATATAGGTAGGTAATTGTTGAACAAACAATGGGTGATCAGTGCCCCCTCTTGACACTTCTATCACAATAAATTAGGAGAGTAAGCGGATTAACAATTATCCATTTCACCATTTGATATACAGTTTATAGATTTTAAAATTAAAAAAAATACCCAAACAGGTTGAAATGATGATATTACAAGCACAAATTAAATATTATTAAAATGATTTGATTTTGAACATATTTTATTGTATATTACATACAAAAGGATTGGATACAAGTTTTTTTTCAACTTAATAGATCCTCTCCTTGTTATACAAGCACAATGATGCATGATTGTCATAACAAATAAATTGAGATAATTTACAAATCATGTTATGCATGCAAAAAACAAGATAATAAATATATTGGAAAGGTTAAATAAATACTGGTACTGTAAATATATATTATTTTAGAAGATACGTGAAACTTTGATATTTCTAACTTTGTGCACTTCTGAATGTAATTTACATACAGAAGTGCACAAAACTAAGAATATCAAAGATAGTATATATTACATGTATCTTTAATCAAGATTTCTTTTATGGTTATTTTTTCCTTATTTTTTCCGTTCATTTATTTATTTTATTTGGTCGGTCAACACTATTTGTTTTACTTAATGTATTTATGTCTTTGAACAATGTTAGTTAATATGTATATATGGTCGGTCAGGTCTTTAGTAGATATGATCAGTCAGTACAATAAGTATAGATATGATGGTCAGTCAGGTTTTTAGTGTAGACATGGTCTGAGTCTGGTCACTGCAATTGCTGTCAGGTCATCTATATTTTATTTTATGCTTAAAAAATATAAGATAAGATTTTTTAATTTAAGTGCATACGATACTTTAAATTATAATTGGTGAAAAGTTGCTTATGTAAATTCGGCTTAGTTTCATCAGGTCAATGCATATTTAATATATAGGTTCGTAAGTTTGTGTTTATCTGTCAGAAATGTTTAATTACAAAGTATTACACCTGAATATTTATAAATTAACATTATATGTATTAAATATTTTTATAAAATGATAACGATTACAAATGATTTTCATTTGGTCAGGTCATTTCATATTTCGTCAGGTCATTAAATTTTCATGAAGTGAATGGATAAATGACTAAATATTTGGTAAAAATGTTTCTAAAACATTTTTTCTAAAGTATGAATCATTTTAATAGAGAACAAATTTGAAAAATGTATCAAATTTGTTTAAAAAGATAACAAATATGAATGATTATCATTTGGTCAGGTCATTTCAAATTTGGTCAGGTCATTAAATTTTCATGAAATGAATGGATACCAGACTAAATATTTGGTAGAAATGTTTCTAAAAACATTTTGCCTAAACTATCAATCATTATAATAGAGAATATATGTTAATAATGTATCAAATATTTTTAAAAAGATAACAATTATGAATGATTATCATTTGGTCAGGTCATTTCATATTTGGTCAGGTCATTAAATTTTCATGGAATGAATTGATTAATGACAATAAATTTGGTAAAAATGATTGAATATACCTTTATTCAATTGAATTACACCTTATGATTAAGAAAATATCATGAAAAAGTTGATATAAAAACTCAGAATATTGATATTTGGAGATTTTTTTGTTGGTCAGGTCAGTCAGGTCTTTAGTAGGTCAGGTCTTTAGTATGTTCCAAATATTTGTAATCAAAATCCACAGACATCACACAATAGACTTAGATTAATTGATCTTTTACTTGTTTATATCTATTCTGCTCAATCTGGAATTATTAATAACCTGTGATTAATTGAGGATTAGGAAACTGTATGTTATTATTGGATGGAGGGAGAACCTTTCCCTCTCTGTAAATTTCCATTTACTAAATAGTCAAGTTCTCACTTTTCAGCCTATAAATGATTATATTAAACTGTTGACATCAACTAAATTGTTCATGTTTATAGCAGTAAATTATACATATTTCATTGCCTGCCAAATTTTTTTCTGATGGGTTCTCTAATCCATGGACAATCATACTGTCAAAATTTAAGATATTTTTATCGTAGAAGTCAATTGATATGGTCTTTCTTCATGACTTTTAGACTAAATGTGGACCGTGTACAGCAAGGTGGAATTTTTGAACTCATGAGAAATTTTCTTTAGGAATGTGATGCATCTTGATAGTCGATTGTATTGCAAAGCTTTATTAATTTACAATATCTCTATTTTGGATGTTTCTTTACTAAATCTTCCAAGAAATGACAATTGCCCTATAAATAGTGCATGGTGGCATCATCTAAGTAAACTTTTGATAATGTGGATGAGAATGCAGTCTACATTGCACAATCATATATCTATAGATACTATAATCCTCTCAAATAATCATATCTTAATCCCTGGTCAATATTCAAATGCTTAAATTTAATGATTTTAATATGCTATTTGTTTTTCTCTTAAGCTTTGATGCAACCTTTATGGAGGGAGATTGGATGCAATCTTTGTGTATAGAGATAGGATTCGAATTCAAGGAATAAAAACAATCCCAACTTTTAAATGTCACAGTAATCCAAGGTTTTTCAAGTAAAGAAGTGTATGAGAATCACCTGGCCTGTGAAGATGTAGTAAACAGAGTCAGTAGTTCTGTAAATACTTTCTCCTTGCAGTTCAAGATGTATACGACTACTTCCGGGCCATCATTGCAAAGGAAGAAGTGAGTGATCGTGCTCTGGAGTTAACGAAAGACGCAGCACGGCTAAATGCCGCTAATTATACTGTATGGTAAGTGATCGTAGTCACTTATACTTTATGTTTAAGCTTTCAATGCTGCATATTAAGCTGTGTGGTAAATGATGAAGGCTGCCATATTATGTGTTGTAATACGAGTCTTTATATATGATGGATACTTCCAGTTGTAACATGACAGTGTGATAATTGAAGAATATGCACTACTGTTGGTAATAAATACCACAAATTATGTTGTTCGGTACATATAATGATTTTCCCTAAATTCACAGATTTTCCCATTTTTAACGGCCCAGGCCCTAGTACCAAAAAGTGGTCTGAAAGCCCTGCATTTCAAAGCATGATTAAACTAATGCTCTTGTTTAGTCCTATACAGATATTTTCCATTAGTGGTCCGTCCATGATGATTGAATTCAACCATCTTACTCTCTTGTAAAAATGTTAAAATGTAAACTGCAGGGAAAATGCTAAATACTTTGTAAACATATTGTAAACATTTGTTGTAAAAGTAAGGGAGGACTCCGACTGTTTATTTTCAACTGGCATTATATTTTTTTTTAGCGATTTAATCTTCAAATTGTATAATCAAAGTGGAATCACAAGTAGAAACTTGTGATTAGATTGCAGGAATCTAGTGTATTTGTACACCTTTGATATTTTCTGAATGTATGTCATTTAAAATGTCATTGGCATGTTTATTTAGTATGCTTGTCATTGTGGTATTCAGTGTGTAAAAATATTCAAAATAGTTTTCCCTTACGATATATGTCACTGTTAATATTAAATATGTTTGCAATGAAGGTACTAGACTTGTACTATGGGGCAGCAGATCAGTAAGATTTTGATTGTTCAGCACTTCTTTGTGGAGAAGACTTCATTTCCTGATGAAAGTCTTGAAATATTGCCAAGAACTGGGAAAAAAAATTCCAATACCAATCTTAAAATCAATTTTTCTTTTATGCTTCTCGTTATTAAAGGGTCTTTGCTTGTGAAATTGCTCAAGTAAGCCAAATAGATCTCTGTTTTTTCTCCATTAAATGATTTTTGTGCATTGATGCTGTATTGATATATAAAGGTGCAATGTCCTTGTGTTTTATTGTGAATTTCCCATAAGTGGGTATAAAAAATGAATGGTATTGCCAGAGAAGAGATTAAAATTCTAATTTAGTGCTGTTTACAATGTCAAAAGGTGACACGTTTTAGAATTAATGTGTGTGAAATACATGTACTGGCACGTGTATGCTGTGTTTATCTTATGTAAAAAGGTCATTGTTTGATTATGATTTTAAAAATCACCTACACTTAATATCTTGGTTCTTTTTGTGTTTAGGAAAAAAAAAATCTCTTGACAAGAATAAAGAAGCCTAGACAGTCAGTAGTATATAAGCATATAGACTGGATATCTCCCCCCCCCCCCCCCCCCACCACCACCACCACCACCGCCACACTTTTCACACGAGAGGTTTAGTCAATTTTTTTCTTTATGATTTTTGGACGTCTGTTTACTATTTATTCATTTAATAATATTAATCCTTCAGAGACACACCTGCCTTTAAAGTATAATAATTCTATTATGTTAATTGAAACGGATTAAAGAAATGATATTTACTCAAAATTTGTGTGAATTTTGCAAGAGTTCACACATTCTTTACATAAAGGTCACAAATGGAAATCTTCACATTGGAATTTATTATGATCTCTTAGAAAAATGTTGGAAAACTCTAAAGCATGATCTACAATTTCACCATTGTAAGTTCTGACATGCAGATTGAAATGTGTCAGTTAGATCTATTACGGTCCAATTAATTGTTCAGACTGTTACAGAACTTGAGAGCATTGCTGTTACACATCTCTAATCTCTTTTCTTTTTCACAGGCATTACAGGAGAATTCTCTTAAAAGAGCTGGAAAAAGACCTGAAAGAGGAACTAAAATACATCACAGACATGATCATCTCCCACCCCAAAAACTACCAAGTCTGGTGAGAGATTGTTAGATTTCCTAAAATACATCACTGACATGATCAGCTCCACCCGAAAACCTATCAAGTTTGGTGAAAGCTTGTCAGATTTATTCACTTAGCCTAATTAGAAAAAAAGCTATGGATGGGGAGGGAGGGGGGGGGGGTATATTAAAATTATTATAGAGTGACACTTTGGTAAGATAGATAAATATAACTGATAAATCTCTCCCGCATTACGATTATGAAATTTATTTCTTCAGTAATCATTTGTCTCAAACGTTGATTTGTTTCAAGATCAGCTTTGATCTAAATTTTGTAAAACATTTCTCGTGATGAAAAAGTATAAAACTTTTATCATTTATGTTGTTACTGATATACTGATTTGTCTCGTTTTATCGTTTATATCAGGCACCACCGCCGAGTGATTGTGGAATGGCTACAGGACCCATCACAAGAACTTGAATTTACTGCCCAGATCTTGAAAAAGGACGCTAAGAATTACCATACATGGCAACACAGGTGACTTATAGTTGAAGTTCTCTCTGATAGTAAGACATTTCTTTTAATCCATTGAGATTTTCAACTGTTAGTTTTAAATCAGAAACATCTGTTATTGCGTAATGTTAAAGTTGTGAAAAACAGTTTTTTTCATAATTTGAATTCATAACAAGACTTGGATCGTCTTTTAGTGTTTTCATATTTGATACAGATGGGCAGTAGCTCCTAGAGTTTAGGGTTAAAGAAGCACCATTGATGATAATAAGGCAATTCTTTACCTTTGATTAGACCAAGGGTTAGAATTTAGGTTGTTAGGCAAATGCTATAGCTGTTTATGATCCCTATATGACCTTTATATGACATTTGCTATTTCCCTGCCACCAGGCAGGACATTGGAAAGTGTATAATGAACACTGTACTGATGGTTTACCCTGTTTGACCTTTGTGTGACCTTTTTGACCTTTGCTTACAGATAGTGGGTGATTCATTAACCTATTTGACCTTTGTGACCTCTCTGACCTTTGCTTACAGATAGTGGGTGATTCATTAACCCTATTTGACCTTTGTGTAACCTCTTTGACCTTTGCTTACAGGCAGTGGGTGATCCGGGAGTTTGGATTGTGGGACAGAGAGCTGGAATACGTGGACTCTCTCCTACAGGAAGACCTCAGGAACAACTCGGCATGGAATCAACGATACTTCGTCATCAACAACACCACTGGGTTTACTGAGGAAGTGGTCAACAAGGAGGTCAGGTGAGCTTTCCAGGGAGGACTGTTTCAAGGTCACACTTACAAAAAAGTAAACAGGAATGTCAGCTACTCTCTTAAAAGCTGGACAGAATTCTAACTAGTCTCTTATACTGTATATAAAATTTTATAATTACACCACTCATTTTAGAGAAAAGGACACACTGTGAAATATTTCCATAATTAGTGACAGAGGCATTCATGAATTAAACCAAGATAGATGTTATATCAGTAGGTTGTTTCATTTATTCAACATTATTGGAAGGAAATATTTTGGGTACAACTTTGTATTTGTACTCGGGGAATATCAGAAGCTTATAAATGAAATAAAAATCATTAATGAACATGAGATGTTAGGGTAAGTCTGGATCCAAAGTCAAAGCTGTTTCTGTAAACTAGAAAAGTTTCACACATTAATGTAAATGAAATGAAAGTTTTTACATATACACTGTTTTGTAGATACACACAAGAGTTTATCAAGAAGGCCCCCAACAATGAGAGTTCTTGGAACTACTTGAAAGGGTAAGACTCGTATCGTTAATCATTTTGTACTTATATGAACATGTTGCACTGCTATCGCCGGGTTCACAGAAAACTTAGAATTATGCTTATTATCATACAGTCACACGTAAAAGAAATGGTGGACAGATTTTTGTATGAAAAAAGTAGACTGTGAAATAAAAGTGGTGAAGGCTTTGTATATGTATCTTGTAGCTTTTTAATTGTATTCCTTTAGAGCACTGATGAACTTTGAGTAAGTACCCAGGCCTACTGGAGTTTGTCAGCAGCTGTATGACAATCGCTACAGATCTCCGTAACTGATTGTTTTATCTTAGTTTTAGGGTGCTGATGGACTTTGAGCTGTATAAGTATTCAGGCATTCTAGAGTTCTGTCAGCAGCTGTATGATGATCGCAACAGATCTCTGTACCTGATTGTTTTATCTGAGTTGTCTACTTTACGGTGCTGATTGACTTTGAGCTGTATAATGCGGGATTAATGATGTACATGTATATATATATGAGTTGTTTATTTTAGGGTGCTGATGGACTTTGAGCTGTATAAGTACCCAGGCCTGCTGGAGTTTTGTCAGCAGCTGTATGATGATCGATACAGATCTCCATACCTGATTGCTTGTATGATTGACACATATGAAGAGATGCTGGAGCAGAACTGTGGAGAACAGCGAGAGGTTCTGGAGAAAGCCGTGTCGGTATGTCATTGTTGTGTCGGTTTGTTAATGCTGTGTCCGTTTGTTAATGCTGTGTAGGTATGTTAATGCTGTGTTGGTATGTTAATGCTGTGTTGGTATGTCAATGTTGTGTTGGTATGTTAATGCTGTGTTGGTATGTCAATGTTGTGTCGGTATGTTAATGCTGTGTTGGTATGTCAATGTTGTGTTGGTATGTTAATGCTGTGTTGGTATGTCAATGCTGTGTTGGTATGTCAATGCTGTGTCGGTATGTTTATGCTGTGTTGGTATGTTAATGCTGTGTTGGTGCTGTGTTGGTATGTCAATGCTGTGTTGGTATGTCAATGCTGTGTTGGTATGTCAATGCAGTGTCGGTATGTTTATGCTGTGTTGGTATGTTAATGCTGTGTTGGTGCTGTGTTGGTATGTCAATGCTGTGTCGGAATGTTGATGCTGTGTTGGTTTGTTTATGCTGTGTTGGTATGTCGATGCTGTGTCGGAATGTTGATGCTGTGTTGGTTTGTTGATGCTGTGTTGGTATGTCAATGCTGTGTTGGTATGTTAATGCTATGTTATGCTGTGTTGGTATGTTAATGCTGTGTTGGTATGTTAATGCTGTGTTGATGTGTTAATGCTGTGTTGATATGTCAATGCTGTGTTGATATGTTAATGCTGTGTTGATATGTTAATGCTGTGTTGGTATGTTAATGCTATGTTATGCTGTGTTGGTATGTTAATGCTGTGTTGATATGTTAATGCTGTGTTGGTATGTTAATGCTGTGTTGGTATGCCAATGCTGTGTTGGTATGTTTATGCTGTGTTGGTATGTCGATGCTGTGTCGGAATGTTGATGCTGTGTTGGTTTGTTGATGCTGTGTTGGTATGTCAATGCTGTGTTGGTATGTTAATGCTATGTTATGCAGTGTTGGTATGTTAATGCTGTGTTGGTATGTTAATGCTGTGTTGATGTGTTAATGCTGTGTTGATATGTCAATGCTGTGTTGATATGTTAATGCTGTGTTGATATGTTAATGCTGTGTTGGTATGTTAATGCTGTGTTGATATGTTAATGCTGTGTTGATATGTCAATGTTGTGTTGCTATGCCAATGCTGTGTTGGTATGTTAATGCTGTGTTGGTATGTCAATGCTGTGTTGGTATGTTGATGCTGTGATGGTATGTTAATGCCATGTTGGTATGTTAAAGCCGTGTCGTTACATTAATATCGTGTCGGTATGTTGATGCTGTATTAGTATGTTAATACTGTGTTGGTATGTCAATGCCATGTCGGTATGTTTATTCTGTATTGGTATGTTAATGCTGTGTTATGTTAATGCTGTGTTGGTATGTTAATGCTGTGTTGGTATGTTAATACTGTGTTGGTATGTTAATGCCGTGTTGGTATGTTAATGCTGTGTTGGTATGTTGATGCTGTGTTGATATGTTAATGCTGTGTTGGTATGTTAATGCTGTGTTGGTATGTTAATGCTGTGTTGGTATGTTAATACTGTGTTGGTATGTTAATGCTGTGTCAGAATGTTGATGCTGTGTTGGTTTGTTGATGCTATGTTGGTATGTCAATGCTGTGTTGGTATGTTAATGCTATGTTATGCTGTGTTGGTATGTTAATGCTGTGTTGGTATGTTAATGCTGTGTTGATATGTTAATGCTGTGTTGATATGTTCATACTTTGTCAGTGTATCAATGCTGTGTTGGTATATACTCAATGTTTACTGGCTTTCAGATTTTTTTTCCACAAGAACTTGCTTTCACAGTTTGTCCTCTTTATTTGAGCAGCCCAGCAATGTTTTCCTTTTTACTTTGGCCCTTTCATGTTGTCCTCTGTATATGAATGGCCTTTGAATGTTTTCCTCTTCAGTTTGATACGATTCTTTAGTTTAATTGGCCCTAAACTTGCTCATCAGTTTGTTTGGTCCTCAGAGTTCTCTTATTGACCCACCTTATCAATCAGTGTTTCATCTTTGCAGTAAGGATTATGGCTACTCAACACATTCTATGAAAATATTTAAAATCCAGCTAAATACATTCACTTTATTAAAGTCCATTTCAGATACATGAGATTCTAAATGCCACTTGGCAACAAAATAACCTCTTAATTCAACACAATTATGTTAAGTTTTTAAATTTTTTCTTTACAGCTGTGTCAGTCGTTAGCGGCGGAGTACGATACGATCAGATCACAATACTGGGACTATCTCTCCCGAGTGTTGTCCAATAAGTATGGCAGTGAAGAGAATACACAGGGCATCAATGCACAGGAATCCTCATGATGATCCGTTTCGTCATGATGATCCGTGTCGTAAAAATGCTTTACAAACAGGAAATATTCATGACAACCTATGACAGTATAGCAAGGGAAAGCTTAAGGAGTTTTTACACGTTGATGACTATTTCACCAACCTCCCCAACAGAAAACCTTATCTCTGCCCTACTGCTAGATTAATGACTGCTACTAAAACACAAATTATTTTATATATACGTTGTATTTTATCTTTATTATCGAATTGTCTACAAGATTAAAGATGAATGTTTGTGTGATAAAAGATATACTGTAGTCAGATTTAAAGTGCTTATAATAGCAATGCAGAATTTATCTGTAAGAAAATGTTTTCCATGATAATAATATATGGAATGTGATGGAATCCTATTCATAGATATACAGAACATACTAGGTAGAATTTATTGTAAATTGATACAGGTTTTAGAAAAAAAAGCATAGTGCTTCAGAGGTGCTAATGTTAACATTGCATATGATGTAACTTTGTGTTCTTGTTCAACAGATCATTCTCTTACAAAGTTGTATGTGTATAATCTGAGTATGAACATCTTTAATCTGAGTATGAACATCTATAATCTGAGTATGAACATCTATAATCTGAGTATGAACATCTTTAATCTGAGTATGAACATCTTGAATATGAGTATGAACATCTTTACCTTGCAAAGTAAATGTACTTTAAATGTTGGCTAGATCATCAGGAAAAAATGAAGTCCAGCCGTTATTGAATTTTACTGTAACTCAAAGTTCAAACTAATTTGAAATCTCTCCTTGATTTTTGGTCCTTACCGGAGATCACCTTTCTATTGAATGTGTACACTTCAGAAGTTACCAAGAAAAACCTCCATACTGGTGCATAATAAATCATTTTGTTGAGAATTTTTGCTATAAAATTATTTTAAATGTGATGTTATGCTACATTCCACCCACCCAACTGCCAATCAGGATACTGTGTACAAATGTTCTATACTGTTTAATGCCCATGCAAGCTTCTACATGTATTAATATATTGTACAGCAGATTAGCACCATAAATAAAGCTCCTTCCATACATATGCTGCTTGTCTTGAGAGTCATTTCAGAATCTGAACATTGTAATGTTACGGTATGATAATTGATGCCGAGTTGGGACTGTTTTGTACACTTCTGAGGTTAAAAGTAGTCATTCTGTAGATGTTTCTTTTTAGGTGCATGGCTATTAGTAATAAAGCATTTGTTGTCAGTCTTGTGTGTAGCCTATATCTTAAAAAGCTTGATTCCTCCTTAGATTATCAACCTTGTCATTTGATCTATCTTGGGTGTTGGGGTGTTCCAACCTAAAAGCAGGTCACAGTGACCCAATTTTAGAATGTTCTGGCTTTTCATTTTGTAAACTTTTAACCTGCTTTGAACATTTTGAGGTGTAGGATCGCCAAATCTAATGAGTAAATTCCTTTTTTTAGCCCAGGGGTGTATCAACCCAAATGTAGGCCACATTGAAATACCTTTTGAAATTCATTGTCAAAATCTTTTAAGATTTAATATGAACAGGCCTAGGATCATAAATAGTTGTCACATCATGTGTCAGACTTGGAAACTTGTGATATTTTTGTATGTTTATGGCTACTTAATTGTTTTGATGCAGTATTAAAGTTGATGCACCTGGGGACATATATACATAGTCTATTTTAATTTTATTAAAAAAATTTATTGCCCATTCTTCAAATTTCCCTTGGGTCTCTTGTATAATAAAATTGGAAAAATAATATTGAACAACAACTTATAAAATTAATTGGCCAAGATGACCAACATCCAAGTAAAACTTTTAATTTCATGAAAATCGGTGTAAAATTTTGGTGCTACCAAATATGATTCCTATGAAGTTGGTACAGTTATAAATTATTAATTACTTACATGTTACAGCTGTGGTGTCATTTAAATAGAATAAATACGAAGAAAATGTTTTCAACGTGAAAAAAATAGAGATTATCCGGGATTTTAAGGGTTCCTACCGCACTTGGTTTTACAACTATGACCGAATTTTGGGGATTTCCCGTTGACTGGAGTCGCGTCGAAAACTGAAAAGGACAGCAAAACGTTTAACTCTAGGACTGAGGATTATGATTCTGTTTTACTCAGCATTAGACCTTTTGCATTGAAAGCCAACAAGAAATAATTGAGGTTTGTGTAATGTAATTTTTGTGAATCACTGAAGAATATTATTGGGACTTGTTTCTACTTTCGTTTTAAGAGATCATGCTGAATAGGCGTTTCGAGGGAAGTGGACTAGCTAACTAAGGCCTAATAGTAATCAACTGGTAGTAGGTGTGATTAAAGTAATCTCATTTTTGAGACTAAATTCGCAAATTTACTATCTTGCTTTTTTTTAAATAACATATTTCACAATTTTTTGTCTTTAATCATGTTAATGAAAGCTACATGTAGTTTTATTAAAACATTTTGTTTAACATCTTGAACTGGTTCTAAAATACATGTGATTTTATATTATACACGAGCATAATTTATATAATTTGTAGATAGTCCATCAATAGTGGAGTTAGATATCTATTAGCAGAATGTATCGAGTAAGGGTATGTTCTTACTGTCCCTCGGAAACAATTTTCTACTGCAACAGCTGTGGAAAGGATCTGTGTCGACCCTGTAAGGGGAAACACATGATAGACTTGGACTGTTACAACCATGACGTGGTTCTTTACCGTGAGAGGTACGGCTACTTTATCTACCCGGAATACTGTGAGGTACACAAGGGTAAGGTGTACAATAGATGGTGTGATGATTGTAACTTTCCTTTTTGTGATGTGTGTTATGAAGAAAAAGGAGGCGAGCATAACGGGCATGATGTTCAGGATCTAGAGACAGTGTATAAACATTATCGAGAAGAGTATAGGAAAATAATCGCTGAAATCAGATGTGAGGTGCTGCCAAACAACCGTGCTATTTTGGCCGGAATCGAACCGGATATAGCAGCGTGCGAGACTGAAATTGCCAACCTGGAGGAGAAAATGAAAGAGAAGGCAGAGAGGCTGAAAAAAATGATCGATGAAGTGTTAGCCAAGGATTGTCCTAAGAAACTACAGCAGCTGGAAAAAGAATTGATTGATAGATTAAACCGTCAGTGTGAGGACATGGAGAAACATATTGCTTACCTTCGAGAATTGGTCTACAAGTACGAACACTCTGCTAACAAACCTGCAGAATTCTTATGTTTTCTCAGAGATAATCCACTCACAGACATAAAGGACATCCCAGATAGCTGTACTGAACTTCCCATCCTGAAATATAATGAAGAAGTCACAAAAGAGGATGTTATTAAATTACTGGGGGAAATTAAAATTACAGAAGTCGGCATCAGACAGGCACAGAATGAGCACATGCTTAAGATGATACCAGAAGTCATTCAACTGCGATCATTCACAAAAGAAGGCGTTAAATCCACACGCCACATTTCAGGTGTGACATCCAGGAAAATCTGGGTCAGCGATAGAAATAACCTGATCTTGGCAGACGAGTCAGGGAAAACAGTACATCAAGTGAAAGATAAGCTGGATCGTGAATCAGGGGTGCATACCGCAAGAGAGGAAGAGGAAGAGCTGATCTACATTGATAAAAAATTAAATGTAAAAAAACTGTCCAAAGACAACAAAACGGAAACCATCCTTGTTAGGAGAGAGGAGAACTGGGAGCCTCTGAGTGTATTCTGTACATTGGAAAAAGGGGATATTCTGGTGGCGATGATGATCCACTCTATAGCTCAGGCCAAAGTGGTGCGATACAACAACGAAGGGAAAGAGGAACAAACAATCCAATTTGATGATGACAATGAGGCACTGTACAACATACCGCGATTTATCACAGAGAACCACAATGGAGATGTGGTGGTGTCTAACCATATGGAAGCCCGCGGCACTGTGGTGGTCACTGATAGCAGTGGAAAACACCGCTTTTCCTTCACGGGTCCTCCCAAAGAATCAGGATTTAGACCAGGTGGAATATGTGTTGATGGACTAGGGAATATCCTGGTGTGTGATGAACACACCAACACTGTCCAGCTGATAGACAAAAATGGCCAATTTCAGCGGTACTTGCTGACAGAAAATGATGGAATTGAAAAACCTCGAAGTCTGGGTTACTGCAACAAAGACCATGTTGTCTTGGTTGGCTCTGCTTCCAGTGGTAAAATTTCAGTCCATCGACACCTGAACAGGCAGGACTATCTGGCAGGTAAATTTAAGGGACCATCATTTAATAGATCCAGTACTTTTCTTAAGTACTCAAATTATTACACGTTACAATATGTCCTGTACGCCATTACATGGACTAAGCTTAGAACCTTTCTCAACATGGTCAAGTTACACATATCTATCATATCTCTTACTATTGATTTGATAATCTCATTTGAGACCAATTTTCATTGGTTAAAAAAAATCAAGTTAATCCCATTAGCTTCGTGTATGTCAACAATTATCAATATTTATAGAATTTTACATATCCATGCATGATAGAAATGCTTTTGTTTCTTTTTTTTAGTACCTTTACTCTCAGAAGAAGACCTTGAAAAGAAGAAGAAGAAAAAGAAGAAGAAGAAGACCACAACTGATGCAGATACTGCAGTATGAGAACTTCTCAGCATAATGAATGATGGTCAAGGGTCGGCAAAGTTCCAGGATTAGGATATATTGATCCTGTTGAGGTTGTTCTAGTGTGAGATTTAGTAGGAGAATTTTCAGGGTGGGAATACATATATTTCTGTATCGGGAATGAGGATGCTTCAGCATTTGAAATGATGCAGAACAGAAAATCCCAAATGGTAAAACAGACAAAGCAGTATATTAAGTCAAGTAAAGCTTAAGTACAAGGCAATGTACATGTATTACTTATGCATATTGTATGAAAACTCAAAAAGCACTAGTAAGTTAAACATACGTGTATATTAAATGTATAGTACTGTACATTTACATGTATATATAAAATATATTTTATTTAAGATTTTTAGTTTATACGTGTATATTTCCATTACTATTTGTTTTCTCTGTGATAACTCTTTGAAAGTTAAGAGAGTTGATTTCCTGATCATTCTAAAGGAATGCAAATTTCGCCAAGCGAAAGGTCAGGAGCTAAGAAAGCCTGATATGCATGTAATTCTCGTGCGGCTGTCTTTGTGTCTGACTCTAAGGAGGCCTAATATGCATGTAATTCTCGTGCGGCTGTCTTTGTGTTTGACGTCAGTGGGCGGGGACTATTGAAATTGACATGTGAGGCCTCGTGTAATTTAAATCTATTAGTATACATTTTTAAAATCTAAATTTACAATTTTATTTCAAAATGAAATGGAAATATAAGGAATCACTGTCTAGTTAGTAGAGTATGCCAGGGACATCAACGATAGCTGGAAACGTGGGATAATTTATGCATAACGGGCTTCATGGTTCCCCAAGGGAGGAAACTATTTCCCGAGGCGGCGAAGCTATCCCACTCACAACCAGTGGATAAGTGTATATTATTATACTTCTGTTAAAATGTTTCCTATATAAAGTTAAGAAGGTAATATAACTATCTTTTATATTCTGAAAATTTCCACGCATAGCAAAGCTATACCCCGGGGTATAGTTTGTGCTATCCACCCCTCAGAAAATGTCCATGCAATTTTTGCCGCCAATTTTGATTTCCTGTAATCAATCTATAGACTGATAATGTCATTATGACTTCAGTAGCATTGTGACATCATCAGGATTTCAGGCTCATTCTTGCAGTGTTATAATCTTACTCCAAATACTTGCTCAAAACTTTTATAACTATTCTTTTGAAGTTTTTATGTTTTGGCTATGAAATTGTAGCATCAGGTAATTCAACCCTCAGAAATTATGATATACATAAGTATAATAAAACGCTTCGCCGCCTCGGGAAATAGTTTCCTCCCTTGGGGAACCATGAAGCCCGTTATGCAAATTATCCCACGTTTCCAACTATCGTTGATGCCCTGGCATACTCTACTAACTAGACAGTGATTCCTTAAATATGCAATTTATACTGAACATATGTACATACTTGGGTATCACCTCACTTTATAATTTTATCTACTGTACAGCAGGATTCGTGTGCTGCATCATAAGTAATATTACTTCTGTTTAAAAGATCAAAACTACACTGTACATTTATATTAATCTTGTCTGTTTTAATTTGTGGGTTGTAGTATGAATGGAGATGAAGTTTTAACTTTTATGTGGATTATTCTGTATATTGAAACATTTACATTGTATTATTGAGCATGTATGTTTTATATATATGATTGTGTGTTTGACAGCTTGTTTGTAAATGTATGGCCAAAAATGTAAACAACACTGGATACATCTTACAAAGTTGATCACAAAGTTTCACAGCTGTGTATGTGAAGATTTGTGATTAAGGTGTTTGTAGTCAGAAGCAAAACAAGAAACCATGGTTTACATGTATACATGTAGTGTTGTTGATTAAGTATTGCCTGTGATAATGTATTGTTACCGGTGTACAATGTGCATTAATTTTATACATATATTATACAGATTTTCCTTATTTGTACAATTACGCCATTTACATTGCATACATAAATCCTTGGGTTAATGCATCAAGATTGAATAATTGTGACGTCTTCATTACACTACACAAATTCTGCTGAATTAATCACCAAAATTGGTATGACGTAAAAGTCAACACAGTTTTGTATTTATGCAAGTTTAATAATTCTAATACAGATGGTTGAAATTTATATTCAAAATTTTTTCTTTATCTGATATTAAACTGACTTTCAAAACCTATTCAGGAACATTGATTAATGCTGATAATACAAACTCTGGTCCAACCTGCCATATATAAGGTCAACCAGAATATTGTGCCAATGAAACTTGTTGTGTTTGGCAGCCTTTACATTAAAAAAATGTCGGTATAGTTTTTTTCTTTAAGTAATTCACTTATTGCCCATATCTGTAGGAATATTGATGGTAATGACTTCCCATATCATTGATACAGATCGTAAGACGTACATCACACAATGCTGGTCATAAATTGGACAGGTTCAAATCAATACCTCATGTCTTCTAAGTGTCAATAAAAATCAAAGTATATAAAATGACATACTACCGAGGTATGTATAGGTGTACCTGAAATATAACGAACAGTGAATCATTTTTAAAATGTTTAATTACAATTTACAAACATCTTCATAAAAGTTTGACAATCTTGTAATTTTCATTTATAACACAAACGTACATGTACCAGATTTGCAAATTCACAATACTAGTAGTAAAAGACTTCGGCTTTGATGATACAATATCATCATGTTCATGGACACTGTTGATCAGAATAGTCGCTATCTCCAAATACACCAAAATCATGGACATGATATTTTCAATGCAAGATTTCAAGCATTATTAACAACCATGACCTGCTTTTCTATGAATCAACACTAGACCATGATGTTGACATAATTTACAAACTAAAATGTCACACATGATTGGGTCAGACATTGATTTCTCATCTTAGTAAGACAACTCAGGCACCAAGAAGGAATACTGTCTCGAAAACATGGACTTCCTTTGTTAGTGTGTCTGTTTGTTTTATAATTTAAACTGTCCTTCATTTTAAACCTTTCATCATTTCTTCACCCCATAACCATCATTCGCGGGGCAATGCTCATTGACATCAGCTCTTGGAAGAGAAGCTTGCAAGCGTAGGGTATACGAATTTGTGAGATCTGAAATCACAGCATCATATAATGAATGTAAAATCACAAAATGAAAGTAAAATCTTAAAATGAAGTAAAATCACAAAATGAAAGTTAAAAGTGCACTCAGGAGGCACTCATTCTTTTTCATTTTGATAAGTGGATATGGAGACACTTCAATAAAATTATCCTTTCAGAACTTGAAATTTTGGGTGAGAAATTTCAGCAAGTACGTGTAGATGAGAAGTACCAATTACATCTTTGCTCGACTTGAATGTCATAATCATCCAACCCACTTTTTTCATACAAGTTTTCATTTGAAGTTAATGTATATACATGTATATTTACCTGTGTCTTGTTTTTGCAGCCTCTGCATTCAAATGTTTGGTTGCGTAAGTTTGCTATGGCAATTAGGCCACAGAAGTTGCACACATGCACCCTGTAAGGGTCTGAGGCCTCAAAGAGTCTCTCTCTCAGGAACTGGGCAGCACCATGGGCTATTTGACAGTCACGCTCCATTTCACCAAATCGCAGTCCTCCATCTCTGGAAAAATTAAATTGTTATACTGTAGTTTCAGTATGCAAGAAATATTCTATAAGGCTACAACAATATACATACATGTATGCAGAATACTGATCTAATGATATAAATTCATAATACACATTGTAATTTCACTATAAAAATTGCAGATAAATGTACTAATGCACAATCCAGAACAAAATTAATCTTATACACACCTGTGCATGTTATTGCAAAAATCAATAAATTATCTGCTAATGACAAATAGACATTTATAGTGTACAGATAAAAAACTGTACACACAAGAAAAAAGTTGAACTGCATGATACAGCTCTAGTGAGCTGAGAGGTCCTAGACATATCATTCCTAGATGAATCATTATACTGTACCTAGCTCTTCCTTCCATGGGCTGTCTGTTCAGAATCTGAAGCGGCCCTCGAGCTCGGGAGTGGATTTTATCGTCCACCATGTGCTTCAGTCTCTGGTAATAAGTAGGACCAAGGAAAATCTGGGCATTCAGTTTCCTTCCTGTGAATCCATTGTAGAGCACCTGGTAATATCAAAAATCTTTATAACAACTGTACTGAGAACTTCAAAACAGGACTAAGAAACAATGTACATGTGTCACAGATCTGCTGGGACAAGACAATTATGAAATATAACCAATTTTTATCACCATAATCTTATGGATCAGCAAAGTTAAATATGCTTATCCTAACTAATAGATTGTTTAGGCCTAAAAAAAAAATATGTTTGTTTCCCATAACATTCCGAAAAAATCAAGGGTCGGTAGGTCGGGATTTTTTTTTTTTTTTTTTTTTTGCTTATGGATAAGGGGGTCAAACATCCCCGGACTGAATTAACCAGGTGTTATATTTAAAGTGGACACCCAAAATGACTGCCTAGCGGTAGAAAACGAACTTCAAAAAGTTGTGGTTGGAAATTGTTGTTACAATAATGATTACTCTTTATATTCAAGGTAAATGTTGACTAAGATGACCTATTTTATATCTCAAATAAAGCTACAATTAATATCTTTTGAATAAATGGAACCAGCTTTAATATTGATCAAACCAAAGAGCAAACACAAATTTGGCAGAAAAAAAATCTGCCCGGGGGTAATTTGAAAGGGTCGGTCAGGTTACAGGAAACAAACTTATTTTTTTTAGCCCTTATGTGGCAAGATAAAAACTACATCCTTTGAACTAGTTTGCTAGGAAGCGACATTTCTACTGACCTCGTTCCCTCGTAAGTGGTAGCCATACTGATGTAGAAGGTTGGAGACTTTCTGTACGTTGACGGCGTCATTGAAGGGTGTGGCATCACCAATCTCCCCCTTGTTGGCGGCCACTTTACCCTGGAGACACTCGATCAAGTGACCGATGGTCATACGACTGGGCACGGCGTGGGGATTAATGATGATATCTGGAGTGATTCCCTCACAGGTAAACGGCATGTCCTAAATCAAAATATCAGAGCCCTATTAAATGACTCAAAGAAGTGGTACCCCTACACGATTTTCAATACATTTCAAATATTTCATGGAAAGCATCCATAATTCATTGTAAAAAATTGTTAAGTTTACAACGTATTTCATTTGCAATAGGCTTGGAATGAGCTGCCAAAAAAAAACAAACAATAAATTGATCTATTACTGTTATACAAGGTTTCCACACTTTGCAGACACTTTACCTCCTGTCTGTATGTGATCCCACACGTTCCCTTCTGTCCGTGACGACTCGCAAACTTGTCTCCAATCTGTGGTGTCTTCACTGTCCGTACCCTGATTTTACAGAACTTGTAACCTTCTTGATTTAGTGTTATCATCACCTTATTAAGAAATGAAATATGTGAACACATCACTGAGACCCAGTTTTCTAACACAGCTACAGTATATGCAGATAAGTATAGTTACCTGGTCTATGATTCCTGTTTCACTTCTCCTCATGAACACACTGGCATCTCTCTTTGTGAATCTCTTTGTTGTACCCTCCAACTGTCATATAAACAAGCATTTAATTCAAATTATAAACGTTTACATATATTAAACATTAAAAAAAAAACTATTTCAGAGCTATAATTCTAAATACAAAACATGTACATGTAAGTACATGTATATACACAGTTTTCATACTATTGTAAACTAATTTAAATATTTCAGCATATAAACTCCATTTTCTCGATTTCTCATCCAGCAGCCATAAATTTTATTTTACCTCATCTTCATTGGCAGGAAGTGTGAGAGTTTTCCCTATCAATACGTCATCTCCTGAAACCCGAATTCCAGGGGAGATAATTCCATCTTCATCAAGTTTGTCATAAACTGCCTGTCGCATACCTGCAAAATTATTATTAAGATTTGTATAATAATATACATGTACATGTGCATTACATTTAAAGTGAAAGTAGAACTGCGGTCAGATTATACACAGTTGCATACAGATTTCAGTAGAATCTTGCACGTACACAGTCAAAATTTTCAAGATTTTTACTCTTGGACTTCTTTATCTCAAACATCAACAACCCAACCACTTTTTCTTTATGTATTTCAATCTCAATACCATGAATCCTAGGATATCCCCAAAGATTTCTTTGGCCCCATCAAGTTCAAGATAACAATCAATGGTTGACTATACATGTCGATAAGCAAACAAAATTCCAGAGTGTTGATGGACCTGCATGTACCTACCTTGGACACTCTCCCGTGTTGGTTTCTCAAATATCTCTTCCTGATCCAAGCCTTTCTTCGATTCTGAATCTTTATAAGAACGGAAGAAAAACGACCTAAAATAGAAGTAAGACTATATACAATCACACAACCATAATATACAGATGAGTCAATACTGCTATATATAAGCTTACTGATATAACAATTACATCTGCTTCAAATACATGCATACATCTGTACATGTAAATTTTGAGTGTAAATACTTATCACTAGCCTATTCATATACGGTACATGCATGCTTGAAGAATGGCTTAAAAAAACAAACATTTTATTTTCTTCAATTAAAAAAAAAATCCCATCCTACTACTCCATATATATGTAGACACACAACAGCCATTAACAACATATCTACATGTCAATCAGTTGTCTATTGATTATCTCCATTACTTAAAGAACATACAAAAGCCATTAACAATAAATCTAAATCATAAACCAGCTGACTATAGTAATCTCTGTTACCTGAAGAAGCCTCTCTCGATGGCGGAGGCATTAATGATGACAGAGTCTTCTTGATTATATCCCGTGTAGGACGCAATGGCCACAATTGAGTTAATACCTACAAACACACAAACATCAAATTTAAATCACTACTGTAAATTCCTAATTTTACGCGAGTACTTAATATCGCGAAATGACCCAAGGGCGTCAAATCGCGGGAACAATAATTCGCGAATTGGTGATTTATCTAGAAATTTTACATACATTAAAGCACCATAAAAATAAAAGCGAGTAATTTTATTTCGCGAGTAGTGCTTCTCGCGTAATTACGCGATAATTTATTCCTCGCGTATATTTAGGAATCTACAGTATATATGATATAAATTAGACAGTTGTAAAATGTATACAGTATATGTATAGATGTCACCTACCCGCGGGTAGCTCTCGGAAGCGTAAATATTCCATAGAGCGTGTGGTGACCAGTGGTTTCTGGGGGTACAGCAGCCCGTGGGCCAGGGTGTCCATTCTGACATGGAAGTTGGTGATGTACACACCCATGGCTTGTTTACCCATAGCAGACTGGTACGTATTACGAGGAGACTATAAAAGCAATCAGATTGAAACTTAAGCACTATCATAAACTTCAGCACATAATAATATGTTTTTCAAAGTAATTTATTTTTCTGAAGAATAATGGACAAATTTCTACATAAAATCCTCTTTTCCTCTACTGCACAGAATGAGATTAAAGTTAAGCAAGATTTATTTGCAGTAAAACTAAATGTACATCTGAACCTGCTCTCAGAACAGTCTTCTCCCAGGTTTATGTCAAACTTACTATCATTTCCTAAAACCTGATTCACAGGTACAATAATTTTTGATTCTCCCACCATTTGTTTAATACAAATAAAAATTAACACTGACCTGGTTGTGATCAGGGAAGGGAATGATGGAGGCACAGACCCCCAGGATCATAGCAGGGTGGATCTCACAGTGGGTGTAGGTAGAACAATACTGGACATCCTTGTCTGAGAGGTCATCAGGGGTCATGGCCAACATGATTGACTCTTCCTCAAGAGGGTCAATGTACTCTACCACACCACTGGCCACCAGGTCCTGCCAGCTACAATAAAGAGATGTACATGTACATATAGAAAACCTACAGAGAGCTTTCTTTCAGACAAGACAGAAATAGAGGTTAGCCTTTTATCAGTTACATACAGAAACCTCATGGACAGCTACGGCACACTAAATAACAAGTTTTCGGACAACTACTGCTTGTTACACTTGCATATAAGGAACTTTGTACATTGAATTTTGCGTTTTAAGAAATACAGGAAATTTCAAATTCAACAGCCATTTTCCTTTGGAGAAGATTGTATCTAAAAACCTTGGCAGAACATTAACAAGTACAAAGAGTTCAGCTTTAATACTTGCTTCTGAGTGCCATTTTGAAAGGGGGTTGGGGTGTTGAATTACAAAGATCAATCTGCTGTAGTTAATCACTAATGCAATGAGCTGCTGAATCCTTTGTGTTTTAATTGCCACTCACCTGTAATTGTTATATTCTCTTTGTTTGAGCTGTTTTATGTGGCTCTGCTTCAGTAGTAGTTTTTGATTTTCTACAATTAGCAGCGGACGACAAATACGACCTGCATCCGTGTAGATTCGGATTTCTCTGTCCCTGATATCTCGAATCATAGACACCTGAAAACAATAAAACCATGAAATGTGTTCATCTTTTGAAAAGAAATTATACAGTTTGTGGTTTTCTTGGATTTCATGATTACAATATTCTGTAAGATGATTATACTGAAGGGTTTAGAGTAGACCATCAAAGTCTCTCCTTGCCATATACACTGTATCTAAAAGCCTGAAATAGTTTTGAAAACTTAATTTTATTTATATTCTGATCATTGTTGATTTGGTTTCAATCTACAATAAATCTGTGTCATCATCTATAAGGCATTTAAAAAGCATGCTCAATCAAATGATAATTCTATAAAATTGATCATAAAAATATCCATACAAGGTATAAAACTGTACAATACATGTATCCCAATTGAATTTTTGCAGTAATTACCTCTGAAACAATTATGTCCATTTCTCGGCGGAGTTTGCGAAGGGTGTTCATCAGCTGTTCTGGATCTCGATGGATTCCAACCCAACAACCATTCACAAAGATTTTGGTAGCACTACAAAAATATCAAATTAATTCAGTAAACAGATCAGGTAACAAAAAATTTCAAACAATCCTATGTAAAAACGAAACAGTCTTGCGAAAAATTGAAAAAAAATGAAAAACACATGCATTTTACTACACACCTTTCTGACCACAGGTACACATACATCACAGTTCAACATCACAGATTTATGTTCAAATGACAAAGAGAACCTGCTCTATAAATAGACCCCATTAAATGTCAATGTTTGGCAACAACTGGGTGCCACTGTATAGAACCACTTACTCCTGAATCGCTGAGGGAGCCACCTCCTCTAGATTCTCCATACTCCACTCCTCTAAAAATTCCAGGATTGGGGACGGCTGGGAGCCCACAGAAATGTAGGCCATTAGAGCTAAGTTCTTCACCAGTCCTACAGCACTTCCCTGAAATACAGACAAAATCAGGCTCTGAAATAATCCAGGACAGGCCTACAGCACTTCCCTAAAACAGACATAAACTGATAATCTTGAACAGGCTAAGATTCTCAGAATACATATAAAATCTTTATATTATGAGTGTTCTGTAAATTCACAAAGGGAAAGTTCTATCATACTGTACTTGTACAGTAAGTGCACAATTATACGCTTAAACAGCATTAAAAGAGGTTGAAAATCACCGACATAATTCAATTCATTGTCAAATCAGAGTATAATGATATGGTTTTTCAGGGAACCATATATATATACACAAGTAGTACATCCATAAATTTATAACGTCACACAGAACGTAGTTTAAAAGCTGAAAATTATCTTTCCCTAATCAAGTGGTTTCAATCCTTTCAAAGACAGAATCTGATTATTTTCAAAATTATCTCTTGACAGAATACTGACCTCTGGGGTCTCAGCAGGACAGATCATACCCCACTGTGTGTTGTGTAGCTGTCGAGGCCGAGCAAGCTTTCCATCTCGACCGATCGGTGAGTTTAATCTCCTCAGATGGGACAGAGTTGAGGCAAATGTTAGTCTATTCAGCACCTGAAACAGTAAACATAATTACAGTCAACTTAGTTATAAAGATCTCCCTTATAAGGAAACATTGCTTATAAAGAATCTTTTTTGAATCCTCTTAAAGACTTTTCATTATGTTCTTTATATGGATGTAATCCTGGTTATAAGGATGTAAAATTCGAGGTCTCAGTAATTTCCTTATAACCAAGATTTACTGTAATTGATTGATTTTGTTTAGGTCAGCAAGTGTAATATTAATATTATATTTCGAATGCAGATTACATGTATATCATAGAATTAAGATCACATTGTAAACTTTTCTTTACTCTTCAGAGATTTTCTTTTTAGTATTTTATTTATATAACTTGAATGTTCCTTGACTCTAGATTCTTACCTGAGAGACCTCCGCTCTGGCCTGGTGAGCCTTCTTCTGACCCCCCCCTCCCCCCCAAAAGTTTCCTGACCCTGGAGGTTACCTGAGAGAGCCCAACTCTGGCCTGGTGAGCCTTCTTCTGACCCCCCCCCCAAAGTTTCCTGACCCTGGAGCTTACCTGAGAGACCCCCGCTCTGGCCTGGTGAGCCTTCTTCTGATCCCCCCAGTTCCCTGTGGCCAGGGAATACTTCAGTCCGTCGGTGATTATCCTGGTCTTTATAGCCAGCTCCAGGTTGAAGTCTTTCCCTCTGTCAATGAACTTCTGGGCGTATAACCTGACCTCCTTCATCAGATTCCGGAACAACCTACAAATCACATATAAAAATTATCTTATGCACATTTGTACATGTATTAATAAAAAAAAAACTTAGGCAAAGATAACTCTTCTATTGGGAAATGATTTCAGACACTAGAAGACAATTATATAGCAAGTTTTATGAATATGAGCATTTTGATTGTTTTCAATAATTGTTTTCAACACTAAAAAATCATGGGATAATTATTCCTGTAAAATTTGTATAATACATGCATTTTAAAATCCTCTTAATATTTATCCTAAATAACATATATTTCACAGTTGCAATCAAACTGAAATCATGTTAACATGGATGTTTTGAACAAGACTGCAGGAAGTTCCCCTTACCCTCTGAACAAGAAGGCTAGGAGAGGACCAGCCAAATCCAGTCTCTTGTTACCATAGTGATCTCTGTCATCCACTTCTCTACGACCAATGGCTGCCAGCAGCAATCGGTGAACCATGTATCTGTAATTACATGTATGTCAAATTATTACTGGATAAGCTTTCTCTTACATATATCCCTATACATGTATGTACTTGATATCAAGTTTATTCTTCTTTGAATTTCCACCTGTAACAATTTTGGATGCCTAAATTTTATCAATTTTACACACAACCATGTACTCTTCTATAGATTTCCATTACTATCATAACTTGAGCGACATGTTGCAGTGAATGATGAACAATAATTATAAATGCAAGATATAGTTCTCTGCCCCGCCTGTTTGCCTTACCCCAGGAAATACGCCTTCTTGGTCTCGCAGAAATCACTCACTCCTACATGGGGCAGCATTTCCTTCTGTAGAATTTCACGAGCGTATTTAATACGCTTCTCTTTGGTCACACCTGGCCTTGCCCCTCTGGAGCCTATAAAGTTCAAGGCCACATTCTGTTCCTGGATCACAAAGGCCTCATCCAGGGAAGGTTTCACCTGTCAACATTAATCACAAAATTAGTATACCATGTATATGCCTACATTTTCTTTTTAATTTAAATATTTCTGAAAAAGAAAAAAAAAATGAGATTTTTACATTCTTATTTTATAAAAAATATCTAGCTAATGATTTAAGTATTATTTCTTATACGAGTTTTCTTCACATGCTCAAAACTCTCATAAACATTTAAGCATGCTACCAAAACCTTTTTCTTACCATTTCCATCATTTCTGGGTCATCAAAATCATAAATAATGTGCTCCAATATGTCCCGGTCAGATACAAATCCTAGGGCTCGGAAAACAATAATGATCGGGATTTCCTGTTTGATGTATGGCAAGATTCCAATGATCCTCTGTCCTATTGCACTCTTCTTGGCACCCTGAAATATTCACATCGTGTCACATTAAAGTACTGGGATGACTTTTATAAATTTAAATACATGTGTATTTAACTCTATAAAGAGTGTACCATAGATTTAAAGTTACCCAACCCACTCTAGCCATCACGTTGACCCAAAGAGTATGATAGATTAATACTTACCCCACCCCCTCTAGCCATCATGTTGACCCACAGAGTACTAGTGGGGCGTGAAGAATGTTCCAGACACGACCTGATCTCTGTCTTAAAGGCATACTTAGAGTCCTTTTGCTGGAAGACGTACACTGTTAAAAATTCATACATGTAAATATCAAATGTGCATACAAACAATATTATAATATCACATTTTTCTTTGCAATATAACTTTGGTACCTCAAACATTAATGATCTCAAATACCATGGATATGTTAAGTGACTTAGAAGTCCAAACCACTTTTAACCTCCATATTTCAAATCCTTGGATTTTTTTGCGAAGCTTTTCTCAGCCAAATAGAATTCAAGATACATGTTACAGAATTTAACTGTAATTTTTAATATACATATTCTAGACATCAGTATGACATATTAAGACACATATTCTGTATATGTACCACACTATTTACCTGTGTTTGTAGCCATCTTCTCCTGAGCTATGAGAACTTTTTCTGACCCATTGATGATGAAGTAACCCCCAGGGTCTAACGGACACTCGTTCAACTCCGTCAAGTCACGGTCCACTAGATTGTTCAGAAGACAGTAGGTGGAGCGAAGCATGATGGGTATTTTTCCAATAAAGGTCTTCTGGTGCTGTGTTTCCACGGGATCCTCCCCCTCTTTTACTACAGTTTTAGTGATGTCCACATATAAGGGAGCCGAGTACCTGAAGTAGGAATTACATATTGCTGCAATGTTTATTAAATTTACTGAGTATTCATCTATATTTTTACAATATTCATATATTAACCCTTTCTCTCTGACATTTCCTGGTAGACTGGGATCAGGTTAGACAACTCCATCTTGACAGTTGTTGGTATACTGAGATTTAAACATTGAATTTTCCTACCAATTACGGGATGAAATCTTGCTTGGAGAAGGAGCTGGTTTTATTCGTACCAAGGGAATTTATGGGTGAAAGGGCTAATCAATCTAAGTTAAACAATGTCTAAATTACCCTTTCTGTAGTGCTGCATAAACCAATCAAATCCAACTTGAATACCTACATTTACATATACTTCTGTTTATAAGTAATTCATGCTCTTTGTCCATTGTTATGTTAATATCAGAGATTGGACTTACGTGAGATTTCTCAGTCGGGCTTCGTTAGGCATCATGGGACTTGGAGCTCCGTCCTTCTCCCAATGTGTAGGCTTCGACAGGTAAATTTGTTCAAATTTCAGCAGGTATCTTGGCTACAACATGACAACAGAGTATAAATTTATTCAATTAAAAGGTTGTTCCAAAGTGAATCTACTCAAACATTAGCAAGACCTATCTCATAAACTAAAGATGACTCATTTTAACAATTTATGCAAGCACTTCCACAAATATACTTTTATAACCAGCTCGTTAACAAATGAACATTAAACATCAGGTGGGCAGGAGGGTCAAACTAGTACATATATATATCAAAGTTAAAATGTCCTTATAAGCCTACTTTGTATTCTTCAGCAACTCAGATTAGTATCAGTGTGCAATATAAAATTTTAACAACTGGATTCAAGACTGATAAATTCAAACATCTTTCACTTTTTGTGCTTTTAACTATAACCTTCTAAATTCCCTTGTAATTCTTATGTATACAATGTTGGACCTTTCAGATCCACATTAATGGACATCTAATTAGACAAAATATTCTCCTGTTGACCTGGGCATATCCAGAGAATGTGGGATATATTGTTATACAGTACAATTCGTTTTTTATCATACCGGTTTTATATCATACTTCTTTTTTTATCATAGATATCTGAAACACAAAACCATTTCTTAATAATTCATTATAAATTTCGTCTGTTATTATCATAGGTAAAAGTATACACTTCGCTTACTATAATAGAAAATTTCCGTCCGTAATATTTTTTTCACACCTTTTCACTCTTGGGACAATCAACAAAACAAAAGATGACATCTATATACACCTGTGGTTCATGCACTGTCGCTTGTCTATACACAATGGCTTGATTTTCACTTTGAAATTTGCCGATAGTGAAAGACTGGGGAGATTAGTCACACTTCAGTGCACTTACCTGAGCGATTGGCAGGAGTCTATTTATTTCATGAAGTACATGACAGGATAACACGGACTCTTTTTTTTTCATAACTTATTTTCTTCTTAATCCTGAATTGTACGTTCGTAATAAATACGTTTTACCAAATGTGTTGAAACTAAATTTAGTGTCAATATTAACCCAAGCTTTCTTACGCTTGGTGTCTGGATCAATGTTCATAGTTAATTACATTTACAAAACTACCCGATTAATTAAGAAATAATTAAGTGAAATTAACTCCACCAGTCTGTCCAAGCGGCTTTGAATGCATATGCTCATCAGTGTATCAATTAATTTTAATTATACGGCGACATTATGTGTAAACAGGTAATTTTTTTATGTCTACTTTGGATGAATAAAAGAAACAATTTGAATGTATGCTTTGTTGCTCTGTTAATTTATTTAATATGTGACCAAAAAAAAAAAAAACGAAACAAAACATTGGTAATTTGAATTGACCATAAATTGAAAATGAAAGTAGATCAAAATAAACAAGATGGATGCCAAGGGATCTAGAAGATTGAGTTTGAAGAGTATTAAGCTTTATTTAAGTGAATTTCTTTATAATAAAAAGTTGAAACAGTGAGTAAATATTGTGAAATGATATGTCAGTTAACTTGTATTTCAAATAAACCTAAAAAATCGAAATTATATGTAACGTAAGATGTATAATACATCCAATAATTTACACAAACGTCGTATCGTCAGCCGTCGGACATGAATTTCAGCCGACTATGGTTATTATAAAAGTTGCTTATTATAAAGTTTTGGCCTGACAAATAAACTATGATAATAAACGAATTGTACTGTAATACTTTATATATGATAGAATGTTCAATCGTTAAATGTCCTACGGACCAAATTTCACTATTGAATTCGTTCCAAATATTGGCAATGAGCAAACCAAACATGGGCAATAACTCTAACTCAGTGCATATAATGCACACTATGAATAATCCTGAGAGTTCTGAATGTCAGCATGGTGTGTAAATTTAAACTGAGGAAAAAGGGGGTGGGAACAGTTGAATTCTTCAATTATATGGAAAAAATTTTAGGGTGAAAGATATCCAACATCTCAAAAAGGTTTTTGTTATGATTAATTTGAAACTTATTTTCAGTGCATCTTCATTTATATTCTCCAAAATCGTTTGGAAGCAATTCAGTCTGCAATTTTCTGCTACATTGTGGGTGTGGGTATATGGGAGGCATTGTTACTATGGTGAGAGCCTGTCCCGACACACAGACAATTCCAACTGTACATGAATGCACCTGATACATCATTTAGATGATGTTTATCGTCTATAACTTACTGGAGTTTCCACCATTCCTGAAGTGTGTTGAGCCTCTGCTTGCAGATCTATCTGTGGAGAATCCTCCACGATTCGCTGTACCGACATCTGTATAAACTCATCAAACGAGTCCAGCTGTTGTCTTACAAGGCCTTTCTCATCAAAATATGAACTAATGACGATCCAGCAAGCTTCCTGCCAGAGGTCTGCAGTAATCTCGTCACCGTCATCCTCGGCCTCGTACATCATCTCTGTTAAAAACCATATTGTTTGTAAGGCCAAAAAAAATAATAGTCTTGTTTCCTGCTACCCGACCTACCCTATTTTTTTGCACCCTAACCTAAAGTTTTTTTTTTAGTTTTGGACGGAAAAAAAATCAATAATTTCCAGAATTTCATCGTTCTGTCACCGTAATCGGATTCCGTGTTAACACAAAACAAGCATTTCATGAAATTCTTGTTTTAAATATGGACTTTCATAAAATACCACTTGAGTTGTGCATAAAAAGACATGAAATTTAATTTTTAAAAGACAATATTGACCTGTGACATGTTTAATTTGATTTTATATTAGTTCATATCCAAAAAATGCTGTCGGAAAAAAATAAAATAAAAATATAAAATAAAATAATTTTCCTACCTACCCTATTTTTTTCAGGCTGGTAGCAGGAAACAAGACTATTATTTTTTTTGGCCTAAGAAACTTTAGCCAAAAGGAATCGCATTGTTGATACATGTAATAAATAATACAATGCATGTTTCTACACTGTATGTCCATGACCAGATATAATATGAACAATCTTTTAGAAATTAATAGTTATGGTCATCTTTTTAAATGATAGTTACATACATGTAACTGTAAGAAAAGATCTCTTTCATTTCTTATTGAATAATACTCTATTCAACAGTGTTCAAAAGCTTGAAACGCTACTACCGATTCACTATACAATGACTAATGCTGATTCTTAAAAGTATCTACATTTTCATAACTTTTCGTAAATCTTTATATTTTGACAAGTGCAACAATAAAGAAGACGCGCATTTTTCGTTTACACCGGAAGTCCACTTTCAAAATATTATTTGCCGTATTTATATCGTCTAAAATAATTACAAAACGTATTACCTTCCTCTTGGCTATACATTTTTTAATTGAAAGGGGATTTATAATTCTTTCTAACTGAACTCGGGCGTTCGATTGCTGAATTTTAGGCCCGATTCATCGCGATTGTTTCCCTCTTCTCTCCTCCGTCTCTTCAGTTTGCGCTTTCGAGCTAAACTGACTGACTCGGAACTCCTCGGGCACTGAATATAAAAATACGTTACATTGATCATTGATGAATACGTAAACAATGGTAAACAGCATTTCCGAGTTGATTACAAATCAAATATATCAACCTCAAGAAAAAAAATAGTTATGAATTCAAGTGAAAAATTAATTGAGCTCATGTGTCGTCACTCTCTACCATCGGCTCATACATTCACGTGTCTGAGAGAGAAACGAACGACAACTCTGCAAGGGAGATTGATGTGTCGTATGAAACCATGGATTGATGAGCATGGGCGGATACAGGATTTGTGATTAGGGGGGCGTGGATAACTTCGTTCAGGCAGGGGGTTTGGGGGCCGCCTTAAGGCCCCCAGTGGGTCCAGGGCGAAGCCCTGGTGGGGGCCCAGGGGGCGAAGCCCCCTGAAGCTCCTGGGTTTTCGTGTATTTTAAGAGTAAAACCAGGCACAAAAATAGTGGTATTGGTTAGTTATATACTTAAGTATGGCATTATTAATATTAGTCATATCATAGTTTGAAATTTTTAGGGGGGGGGGGGGGGTGCGCCCCCCCACGCCCCCCCCCCCTTAAATCCGCCAGTGATCATGGTGATGAGAGCGTGTTCCAGGACCACATTAATTTTGCAGATGGCACCATTAAAAGATAGAAATAAATCTATGAGCGGTCAGTTATTTATTTGCTTACTAGTATTATAATTCACGGATAATAACTGCGATAGAATAGCATTTATATTTATAAAGTGTGACAAATAGACTCTGTGAAAGAGACTGGGTAGACCCATTTCGGTATAGTGTATACCGATCCCGATGTATTTGCAAAGCGTCTTGAGCTACTAGTTACGCAAGGAAATGAATTTAACCACCGTGACGGAAGACTTATAGTAACATATCAGATAATATCTACTGACAGGTTAATTGTCTTTGTTTCCAAGCCTCATTAGGCATATAATTTGAACCATAAGGGCTTGTCTTCTTGATTGTTAAATGTAAAATAAATTTTAAAAAATTTGAATCTTCTTTAAATACACTAAAAAGTTGTTAGAATAGAGATTCTGACACAGTCAAGAAAAACCACGTTTAAAAAAGACGTACCACACCTATTATGTATATAGGTGTGGTACGTCTTTTTTAAACGTGGTTTTTCTTGACTGAAAGTGTCAGAATCTCTATTTAATCAACTTTTAAGTGTATTCAAAGAAGATTCAAAATTTTTAAAATTTATTTTACATTTAACAATCCAGGGGCCCGTTTTACAAAAGAACTTACGACTTAGACCAAAAAGTTTAGTTGCTGGTAAAATATTGCAAAATAAATAATTCTGTTTTAAAATTGCATTCATAAATATATCCTCCAAAATTCCCTTTTAAAAGATCAAAAAGATTTCCAAATTAATTTAAAAAAAAAGAGTTATTTGCAAATTAGAATTTTTGTCTTAGTCGTACGTTCTTTAGTAAAACGGGGCCCAGAAGACAAGCCCCTATTCATAAAAAATCCTTACAAACAAACTGAAGATACATAGCGGGTTCCTGTATGGTTCTAGCAGGCCTTTTTCTTTTCTCCTTACTAAAATATTTACAACAGTGAAGGAGAAACTTCAGGAGTTCTGTTCAACAGTATATTTGAGAAATGGTGTAAATCAGATGTGAATATTACTTAAAAACTTCAAAGAACTTTATGAAACTTTGAAATCACAAAATTTTAACAAAATTAAGAACATCAAAACGTACGACTTTTTAACGCTTTATACAACCATTCCCCACAATAAATTAAAGTCCAGGCGTATTGACATCATAGACAGCTGCTTTTTAATAAAAATGGAACTCGTAAATATACTTTATTATCTTGTCATTGGTCATTTGCAAAATTTTTTTGTTAACACATTCTGGTTGTACACACAAGTACTATGTTGAAATTTAAAGAGATGCTCGAGTTTCTGATTGACAAAATCTATGTAGTTTTTGGAGATCAGGTCTTCCAAAAAGCTCTTGGAAATACCATGGGTACCAATTGCGCCCCGTTATTAGCAGACCTTTCTTTTGTATTCATATGAAGCAGAATTTATTCAATAACTTCTACATGTTCTGTAGCCTTTAACTCATCATTTAGATATATCGACGACATATTATCAATTAACAATAGTTATACCTACATTCATATGTTGACTCGATATATCCTAGTGAGCTTAATTGAAATAAAAGATACCACAGAGTCTGGCACATCTGTTTCATATTTGGATATTTTATTAGAAAAAAAAAAACATTAATGGTAACCTAACAACAAAGATTTATGATAAACATAATGAGTTTTGACTTCAATTTTTCAATCGTCAACTTCCCTTACTAATGTAGCGATATAGTTTACTCTCATCACCTGCTTATTTGTTTTTGTCTCCCAGTTGATTCGAAATGCAAGATTATGCTCTGCGTATAAACAATTTCTAAAACGAGGCAAGCTATTGACAAACAAGTTAATGAAACAAGGCTATCAACAGTCTCGTTTGAAGTCACCATTTTCCACGTTTTATGGTCAATACAATGACCTTGTCAGCAAATACAACGTATCATTAAGTTAACTGCTGACTGACGTTTTTCATACCAATTGTTAGGCCATTATTTACACACTGAATTGTCGACGGATTTTACCGTTTTTCCTGATCATGACAAGGAACACATGGCGGGTGTGACCGATCGGCAGTGGATACTCACTCCTCCATGGCACCTGATTCCACCTCTGATGTTTTTGGAGGTCCATGTTGTCTCTGCTCTCGATTTATATTGTTTTAATGGACTTTGAGCTTGAATACTGTTCATTGTCTCCATATTTCATTACAGTCTCATTGCAAGAAAATATAATTTGTTCAAAACCCACAGTTTATACCACCCCCACCCCCACCCCCCCTTCCCTGTGTTTTTTAAGGACTTGAAGAATACCAATTTTATTGATTGACATTTCCTCTTTTCAGGTCAGCAACTTTACTTTTGATACTTGATTGTACTTCGGGTGCTCTGTTCACAATTCCATTAAGGATAAAAGAATCTGATAAATTCATTAGCACGCTCTTTTTGTTAAAAAAAAAATTGCTTTTCACGCCTTATGTATAGTCCTATTCAATACAAACGGTAAACACTGTATTCATCGAAAAATCACTGAAATGTATAGATTAAAGCATAATAAAGTGAAAACCTAGAATGCACCACTTCTACTTCATATATTTGAACAATTCTAATACCATAATCAAATAAATTGACAGCAAATTTTTAACTGATACCTGTTGCATGTATATTTACCTGGTTTTTCGCTATAATGTTCTCAGTGGCGAATATGAATATTTTACTGATAAATATCTAAGAACAACCTACAAATAGTCTTCATTTCTATATACATAAAATCTAAATACATGTATAATATATTATCTAAAGTGTTATCAATTGCTGTATCATTTATTTCCATGCCCATTCACATCAGAGCTTTTTTATATTCATGTAGAATGAAATATGAAGGTAACTAACAGTAATTAAGCTCTAAAGTCCATATAAACAATACTTGTTGTGGGGAGAGGCTAAAATAGGCTATGCCTTCTGCCCAATCTCATTCACTCTTTTGTAAATAAAATTATTAGGGATGTCAACGAGTACCCGGTTAACCGGGTGCTCGATCGAACGTCCGAGTATCGAATACTAAAAATGGTACTCGGTTACTCGGATGTGTATTTTTTCTTATTTCAAAGTACATATTTTTTCCAAAAAATTATCAAAAAATAACTTAAATATGCGTACGGTATTTAGCGTGTCGTCATCTACACCTGTAAAACACCCGTTATCGCCTGTGGCTGTGTATATATAGTAATTAGTGACCAATCCAATCACCCAGCTGTTCTCACCTATTGTGATCCTTAATTTTTGAATGGCTTCAATGATTGTTTTCAGTGAACATCGATGGTTTATTATCTTCAAATCATTTTAAAATTATTTAGTTTATATACAGCAACGAAATCGGACATGCATAGAAATGCCGCTACCCACTTCAAAAGTGAAGAAATGTTTAGAAATTACTAAAGACTAAAAAAAAAATGTTGAAAGTCAGTTTGCGTAGTAAGTTTAGTGTATACGGGGGAAACAATCAGCATATGAAATATAATATTAGACTAGCGATCCCAACAACGACCTTTCCTTCTCTTTCGCTAATCTAAACATCACAAACATGCGTGACAGATTGTCCTCCTTTTGATGAAATAGATCTTAAACAAGAATGTAAACAATTGCGTTGTAATTTTTGATGTATTAATTGTGTCTTTTGTGTTTGATAAATAAATTTAGTACCAAAAAATCATTTCCGTTGGAATCGATGTTTATATCCATTTATAAAACGTGATAAAAACAGCTTTGGGGTTTAAGAGAGCTTAACGGGGCTCAAGAAAATTAATACACTAGTATTTACATTTTTTTTACCGAGTACCCGGGTACTCGATCGGAAAAACGTCCGAGTAACCGATTATCAAAAATTGACCGATTTGACATCCCTAAAAATTATGTATAAATTGACCTCTTAAAACATCAGAGGGGATCAGGTACCACGGAGGAGTAAGCATCTCCTGTAGACCAGTAACACCCCGCCGTGTGCTCTTTGTCATGATCGAACAAACAGAAAAAATCCGTAGAAAGTTCAGTGTGAAAATTAAGGCCTAACATTTTGTATGGAAAACGTCAGTCAACATTCGACTTAATGATAAATTGTATTTGATGACAAGGTCATTGTATCGACCATAAAAATGTTGACTGAATGAGATTGTTCATATCCTTGTTTCATCAACCTATTTGTCAATAGATTGCGCCGTTTTAGAAATTGTTCATACTTAGAGAATACTCTTGCGTAACAAATCAACTGGGAGACATCAACTCAATAATATATATTAGGGATGTCAACGAATATTCGAACATTCGAATATTC